GTTTCTCTCGATTACAATTAGAGACCATAAAGATTAATAATCTGATATATTGGCCTCTTTACAAGTACATGGGTCGCCTTCGTCTGTCATACAGACTTTGAGACAAATATATCCAATCCAGCCCATGCAAGTCTATAATATTTGGCAAGTCTAGATTGCAGTATCTGAAAATGTAGAAAGTCCCTGGTCTTCTTTTAAAAAATATTTTATAACTATAATTTAACAACTTTTTTTCGGTTAAATATGTTCATTTCAGAGACAAGATGTTAGTCTGGGGTCGCATGTAAACATGAACTTACACTAATAACGGCACGGGTCCCGTTCCAGAAAGCGACTGAAAACACGACAGTCGTAAACAAATGAAACTCCTAGCGCTATATGTATTGTAGACGCGTCCTCAGGTCATTCGCCGCCATGGCTCGGTGATCACGACTTGGACTTGCGAACAAGGCTACATTGTTGCAACAACAGAATGACTTCACGACTCCTTCAATAACGACGTCCTGGAGCTAATAGCAGAACCTTTAACAGCGCGTTTCTCCATTGCCAATTGGTACATTGTTCTACGGCACACTGCCGCTGCATTGTGTTTTCAGTTTATATGATATACGATGCCATTATCTATTGTTAAATATTTTAAAGCCAGGAAATGGTTTCGAATTATAAGTCATATAAATGTAAGATACATTTATGATAGATTAATTTACAAACGGATACAAATATATTTATTCGGACTATTAATTGTAAATGCATGTATGGTAAATTATTGCTGAATTTAGCAATGCGTCATCTTCTTTTGTCATCTAATTTATATTCTAAAATATCTAATTTTATATTTTTCAAGTGAACATGATTTTCTATTGCATTGTCAGCGTTAAGAGTGAGTGGGAGTATGCTGTTATGAGCCGCAACATGCCACGATAGACTATACACGATAGACTATAAACAGAGAGACCATATACGCCGTCAAGATACAAAAAAACCACAATGTGCCAAGATACGACGTCGGGTGACACATTATAACCACCCAATCCCCATCTTATATAAGCCGGGTGACACATTATAACCACCCGATCCCCATCTTATATAAGCCGGGTGACACATTATAACCACCCAATCCCCATCTTATATAAGCCGGGTGGCACATTATAACCACCCGATCCCCATCTTATATAAGCCGGGTGACACATTATAACAACCCGATCCCCATCTTATATAAGCCGGGTGACACATTGTAACCACCCGATCCCCATCTTATATAAGCCGGGTGACACATTATAACCACCCGATCCCCATCTTATATAAGCCGGGTGACACATTGTAACCACCCGATCCCCATCTTATATAAGCTGGGTGACACATTATAACCACCCAATCCCCATCTTATATAAGCCGGGTGACACATTATAACCACCCGATCCCCATTTTATGATGGTCATATAGCCGGCTTCAAACACAAGAATGTTGTGTAACGTGGGTCAAAGGTACAAAGTCAGTGCCCTATGTGTGTAGTACGGACCGTGACCCGGCAGCGGTTGCATACGTTTATGTGACTGTCAGGGTCATTAAATGGGGAGCAGTCCACGGACAATGGCAGGTTAAGCAAGGGGGTGTCAACTAGGAGGTCTACATGCATGAATAAATCACTCTGTTTAACTGATACCAAAATAAAGTGAGGTTAGACATGCAAGAAAATATATATATTTCCTATAATTCAGCAATAAGTATCAACATACCTTTTTTATTGATTGTAAGGTTTGGCGAACCAGTGATTTGAAGATCTTAATACATATTGGCAAATTTTAATACATATTCATACTGCTTGATCCCCGCTCCTGACAACTCTTTGTCCATACGGTCTTGCTGCAACTGCATGTATAAAACGAGAGGGGTGTTGCAGCGTATTTTGTTTCAAAGACATTGACATCGTTGATGAACCAGTGATTTGAAGATATTAATACATATTTGTAGGTTTTAATACATATTCATTCTGCTTTATCCTGACAACTCTTTGTCCATACGGTCTTGTTGCAACTGCATGTATAAAACAAGAGGGGTGTTGCAGCGTATTTTGTTTCAAGGACATTGACATCAAGACAATGAGATAGGACAATAATATAATAAACCAACTGAAAGACCAACGCTTAAAGGAACTCCAATGACGTTGCTAAAGAATTATATTTCGGTCACATTTTATTCCGTGAAAGAGAACATTTTACTTTATTCTAAGACATGTTCCACGGGACTTCCAGCCCGACAGCACACAACACACATGGAACAAACATTCCTAGACCTCCGAGAATGTTAAATGGTCCGGTTCATTGCGGACCCAATAAGCCAACCCTACTGGGTTAATAAGCCCGACCCGCATATATAATATAACTACATATGATCATGCACAAAGCATATTAACATGCCTCTATACTGAAGGGGCTTCCTTAACCATAAACAAGTGACGCCCATGGAGATATACCCTTCATAAACATGCCGAAGTGAAATCATTAAATCAGGGCCTTGAACTTCTACTTGGATGATGCTAACGCCTTTGTTCCTTCACTTTCAAGTAGACGGCTGCTAGCGCTCATTTCCGGGTACTCTCCTGCTGGTTTATGATGGCATGTTGAGATGACAGGTACTCTGTCATACAGACCCTGAAACAAATATATCCAATACAGCCAATGCAAGTCTATAAACTTTGGCAAGTCTAGATTCAGTATCCGAAAATGGAGAAAGTTTCTGGGTTCCTTTATATTATCTTTTATAACCATAATTTAACAACTGTTTATTCTGAAAAAAAATTCTTTTAAGAGACTAGATGTTAGTCTAAGATGACACGGTTCAATGTGGTTAGTGATCGGATTTACAGGGAGACAAGACTCCTAGCAAATTTGTTTTGAATCTGGGATTCGTACTCAGTGTCAACGGATTGTAGCCTAGGAAATAGGCTCGTGTTCAGATATTAGTACCATGCTTCCTGAAAACCTCTAAGATCAGTCTTTTAAGTACATTTCAGCTTTACCTCGACATTTGGTGAGCAACGTTACTGTCGTTGCTTAACATACGGCCTTTGAATAACGAATCCGTTGTTGGCTTGTTTTTCGTTATTCAAAAGTACAAACAGGTATTTGATAGAAATGGTGGACATAAACTGAATAGCGAACCAAGTGCAGGCATGTTTTTCGTTTTTGAAAAGTACTACATAACTAAGGTAGAGCGTCCGCCCGGAGAGCGGAAGGTCCGGGGTTTGATCCCCGGCCGCGTCATACCAAAAGACCTTAAAAGATGATACTTGTTATTAACCTGCCTGGTGCTTGCATTACGGGCTAAAGCAAGGACTGGTCGGCTCGGAGTCAGTATACTGTGTCTGAGTGGGGTATTCATGTTAATCTGTGGCATGGTATCTCAGTGTGCTAGGAAGCGTCGTTAAACCCAATTTCACCTCACCTCACCTCACCTAAATAACTAAACAGTTGTTGAACGATATAGATTATCGTATGCTTCATAGAACTGCTGATCATAAACTGAATAACGCACCTGCTGATGGCTAGTATTTCGTTATTCAAAAATACTGAATAACTAAACATGAGTTTCATCAGTGTATTTGACCACATTAATGTAGTTGTTTAATATACAGCCTTTAAATAACCAACCCTGCTGGCTTGTTTTTCGTTATTCGAAAAAATAATAATGAAAAGCGAGCCGCTGCTAACTTCTGCCTGTCTATTAGGTGTTGTTAAAAGCCCAAACATGCCGGTCTTGTAAAGCAGAAGAGTAATTTTTTCATATGAAAATATCCGATAACTTTCATAATTATTTCCAAACGGTTTCCGCATTCCTTAAATTATACACATTGTGGGCCAAAAGAGGTCTTAATATACCGTTCCTTTCTTTTCTAATTGTCCATTCAAAATACATAAAGTGAGTGAACCCTGAGCGACCTTTGACCGCCCATTCTAAACAGGGAGTCCGCATGAGATAAGATTTTATATAGGGTCCTTTACCTAAATGGAGGATGCATGGGTGCCTTGGCCAATAAGATGTCAGCTTTCATTTCATTTGTTTCTTTTCATTTCCTTACCACCTTGACTGAGAACTTTTGATTTGAACAAAAGAAAACCTACACAGATATCAAATGCTCCTTCTATGGTACTCTCATGGCACTGAGAAACAATGGGGTGTATAAAATATCCACACCAATATAATGACTTGGTTTCTATTATTTGCATTCAGAATTGATCTTTTAATAACTTCATTTTCATGCTACAGAAATCACATATGCCTGTCTGTCTGCTTTGCTCATTCCTGCGAATTTCAAAGCATCAAGGCTGATTAGAAAGTTCACCTAACACTACCTTCTGTGGAGGGGTTGTCAGATATCCTCGCAGAGGAACACTGTATCAAAATAAAAATCTGGTTTTTGCATGTTTCATGAGCTTTGATGAATGAATAGTGTTTTAAGCTCCATGAGTACTTTCACAGCAAGTGTAGGTATTACATATTGTTACTGAGAGAACTAGTTAGTGTGGCACTGTGCAATAGAGTTATTTCATTATGACTTTGACCACCATTGCAGTCAACCCTCACAAGAAGAATGCGGTTCCAGACCTTAGGCAGTCATCTGCCCCCAGTCTCATCATCGGTCTATATTTTGCTAAGTTCAGGAGAATCTCAGTTGTTTCAGGGTCCAAGGCATGAACAAATGGGTCCCAGGCTGGCAACATGGGGCACACTTCCTTCATTGCCAAGAATTGTACTGATGTTATATGATTGCATATGCTCAGATGTCTTTAGCCTATTCCAGATGGGGATTTCAATGTTAGATTGAAGAACCACTGACACTCTGAACTTTTGAGTACTGGTATATTTCTTACCAATATACAAATGTCAGTTATAAGTAATGTGTATTCTGATTTTGATCAATTAAAAGATTCAATTTGTATGCATAGAGGACACAATATTGTCTGGTAAAAAGCTTGTGAATGAACAACTATACAACCAAGTAATGATGACATGATATTTATTGATGCATACAATCTGGGATTTTCATAGCAATAGACAATCCCTAAAATATAAAGGAAATGTACGAGACATGGATATTGGTGAGTAGTTGTGTAGAAAATGACAGAAATGTTTTAGTAAGAATTTGAATGGAACTTACTCTTACTGTGTATGATATATAGGGCCATCATTATTAGATTTTCATCTCTGCACACCTACCTACCAAACATCATTGTTTTGTTGTCCCATGTGACCACACACCACGAATATCACAATGTATTCATTCTTTACTTGATGAAATACACCGTAGATGTGAAACACCACATACATGAAACACAGTCCTACCAAACATGCTTAAAGTGAATCAAATTCCTCCACAGCTAATGAACACACATAACATTTGGCATTAAAAACAAACAAGATCTAAAATATAAAATGCCTCCTTCCTCACATTTTGTAAAAGTTGGATAAAAAGCTAATAACTGATTAATTGTTGTCCAACTTGTATGACTGACAGTGAATACAAAGGACATGAGTAGACCATATACAGTACAATTACTTACACATGAAACATAGAAGCAATACTTACAGATGGCACCACTATCAACACAATTAAACAACATAATTATTGTTGAAAAGTAGATGTTTCATAATGAAAATGATTACTAGGAGCGGTTGATGTCAGTAAGAATACCTGAGATACATTGATAATTATACATACCCTTAATAAAAGATTCTGTTCAAATATCTTTACTCTAAATTCAAAAAGGGCTCTCCGACCCTCAAAAGGGATCAGTGACTTTTCTGGTTCATAAATATTATTCTTTTATTTAGATACTGCAAATATGTATAAAAAGTGTTATGTATGTTACCTCCATGATAACAAGTTTTGTTTGAAAAATAAATATTTTCGGATTCACAAGTACAATCAAACAACAAACCAAGACACTGCCTCATCACTGATGACAATGGCAGTGAGTTAGTGAGTGAATAGTTACGCTTCAACAATAAAGTTTCAGCTATTCACAACAAAATAGATAACAATTGGTAAGAGGTTAAATCGACGTTTCATACCTAAAATAATAAAAGGTCAAATATTTCCAATTCATTATAATTTTAAACCACATCCTTCTTTCCACATGTGATATATGTGTCTATCTGTTAGTGTCTGTACTAGTTCAGTGACACATTGACATAAAAACACAAATTTCTGTTCCAGACAGGAATTTCTCCATCTTGCTTGTAGCCTGGGTCGGATGTAGTACTGTAGGAGTTATCTCCCTTGGAGGAATTACTTGGTCCAGCTGACTTTGGGGATATCAAAATGTTCTGTCAGTGTATCCAAGTGCTTATTTAATTTCTGAAATGAAAATAAGACACATCATAGGTTGATACATAAATATGTTATGATCATTAACTTGTCACTATATTCATTTACAACAGAGCTTGCTTGCCCAAAGTGACCAATACAGGTTCCATAGGACTTTTTAAATGAAATCTTTATGAAATTGATGATTATACACAGCATTTTGACTTGGACTACAGATCAAGAAAATGTCAGATCTTTCACTTGCGACTCAAGATTAGGATGTAGTGACTTGATTGCCCATAAGTGTAATAGACACATCCCTGAAGACCCTTCTTGTTCCTGCGGTTCTATGTGCGAGGACGGTACTGCTCATTATTTCCTTATATGTCTATATTATAGTACCATCAATCAAACTCTTACTTCTGTAGCATGGGACACAACATCAATTCCCTACTTTATGGTAGTTCCTTAGAAACTGCAAACGTGATTCTAAACATTTTGGCATCTATTCATGATCATATTAAACAGACAAAAAGATATAAAATTGATCAGTAAACAGTTTATATGGCTTATTAGTCGCACCCAACACACCTCTATCATATCCACTGGTACTATCTACATTTAATTGCTACCGTGACCATCTTTTCATTTTTGATTATATGTATTATAAATCTGTTCACCTTTAAATATTAAATGTATGTATGTATCCACAAATTATCAAATAAAATAGAGCAAACATGTTAACATTAACATGTTAATATTTTTAAATTAAATGTAATACTGGTAATAGCTGGACTCACAACAAAATCCTCTTTTTATTACACATTCAGAACCTTCCCTTCCTACCTACCTACCTGCCAATTAGCTATTAAGCTTACTGTGATCAATTAAAAAGATTTGTGTGTATAATTGTGTCAGCTGCTAATTAGAGTGGCATGTATAATTAGCTCCAACTAATAAGCAATGTGTCTGGCTGACCTTGTTAGCAGCATCAGTGGTTCAGTGACAAACTGAATACATTTCTTTTATAAAATTTTAAATGCATCCATACTAACGATTGTCCAATACTGCATCTTACCATTATTTGTTCTTTATGACTTGTACTAGCCTTTTCTAGAATCTGTTCAGCTTGCTGTAAACAACAAAACACATGGCAAGTTAAACAATATTGATGGAGAGCTGAATAACATATTAAAAAAAAAGACTATGTTTATTTGTTGTCTTAAATGTCAGAGTTATAATGACAAAGTTAGATCACTCACAAAAAGTCAGCCATGTTAAATATTAAGCAGCACAATTTGATGTATTGTCACAGTCAGTGATTTATCTAGACTTGCTAGGTGGCCAATATTTGGCCCCAAGTCAGCAGCAAATGTCATTTATAATTCCCAAATCGTAAAACAATGTTTCCCAATACATGTTAATGTATGTAACTAATCACCAATGTTATGCCTTTGTAGATTTAACCTATATTTCACAGATATCAGGAACAATAAATAGGAAGAGGTTTTTATGCTTAGTTTTGTATTACTGCATGGAATACAATCTCAAAATACAATGTTAAACTACCTCTGAATTTAAGAAAATTAGAACTTAAAACACATCCAAATTTGGAATAAATAGCAATTTTTTTCCCAATTTGCCTGCCAGGGGCACTTTGTTTGAAATCCCAGATCAATCCCTGCACCCCATTTCATGCAAAAACTTTTCAGGTCAAAGTTTCTAAATCATGTTCTTTCCCTTAGTTTTAAACAGTGAACTTACCATAATCAACATAATAAGCGCCCAGGGCGCTCTCAAAATTATAAAAAGGGGGCTCTTATTATGATATTATTGGTGAAAAACAACAGAGTTGAAAGATCGTAAATTTTGTGGTTTATGCTGACAGCCTGAAATGTTAATAAACGACAGATATATTTTTCCAGAATTTAATTGCCCATAATTAAGGGTGGATATAACAAACGTATTATACAGGAATAAATAAGTCTTGTGTACATTTATCAATCGGAAGGGGTGCTAATTGGGATTGTTCACTAGCCAATATATTAGCAAATATCGCCGTGGGCGCTTATTAGAGCGGGGTGCGTATTACGTCGAATACAGTATGTTATTTTGACCCATGGGAACTCCAGATAAGAATATAGGTCTCCAGCAGTCTATGCTTGTCGCAAGTGGTGACAAAGGGATCGGGTGGAACGGTTTATTGCATGTCATCATATCCAGATTGTGAGGATTGATACTCATGATGTCAATCACTGGTATTTATGGTGGAGACTTTATTATTTTCAGACCGTCACCATATAGCTGCTAGTGCTGAGTGTGGCATCAAACAATGAACACATATGTCACAATGCTACAAAGTATACTACAAATAATTTATTGGGTCACAAATAGACATGTATAACAAACTCTGACTTATTGTCAGAAATGAGTAGTTTGATTGAAACAATTACCCTTTTCTCCTTGACTTTTTCAAAAGCAAGCTCAGCTTTAGTTTTCTTGGCAACATACATGCGAGTTGTGCTGCTGGTTGGTGAAGTTGGCTCTTTACCCTCATTTTCTAAAGACAGCTCCAAATGTCTCTGTTCCTTGTCTTTGTCCTTACTCTTCTTCTTTTTCTTTCTGAGGGTAAATTTGAAGATGAGTAAGAAATCTGAAATGTCTATCTAACCAGAGACCATCCAACAGCATAGAAAACAGCTTTTACACTTTACATGTTAAAGAGATGCTTAAGGTTCCTGTAATTTCTTTACATAACACTACAATATCCCGATACGCTACATCCCTGTACTATGGCGTTACTAAGAATTAGTTTCATCCACATACTCAGTAATGATCGAAAACTGAACAAATTTAATAGTCATAATTAAAGGGGCGCTTGTCATTTAATTAAGTTAATTGTACTGGGAAATAACTAAAAGGTTTATTCCTTGCTATTATATACCTGTGTAACACTCACTTTTTAATGGAATGATCAGACACACCCTTGAGTTTAAGACCACCTGTTTGTACGCTGTCGTAAGCAGACATTTTGTTGACTATTCTGAGATAACGCGAGAAGAGGGAGGTTTACGTTTTATAGATGTATAATTTCATTCTTATACAGAACAACACAATTAACATAAAAACTGCCTACAGACTACTTAAATACATCTATTTATTTCTTTTGTATCTCACGTTGATATACAAATTGCGTGATGTAGATCATGTAGATGTCTTGTATAATTGTGCATTTTTTAAACCAATGACAGCTCCCTCTGGCGCGATAGTGATTGGACAAAATCCCTCCGTGCACTTGCGTCCCGTGCAACCTGGACATAAACACTGACCTGTCAGTCTTTCAGGTTCCGCATTTGGCGTTAACTTTGATAGACTAACGGGACTTACATCTTCCAGTCATGCCGAGACGAGCACTTAGATGTGTTGTTGATCTTAACTTAAAGAAGGTAAGATACGATCTGTTATATTTTTGCATGCACCGTTGCTAACTTGCAGCCAGCTTGGCGAAAGTCACTTGTGCTCTGTTGTAATCTGGTTGCAAGTCTTGTCATGTCCTTTCCATCCCGCTTTGACTTTTAATCACACAAATTTTAAAAGTAAGTCACAATACCGTCCTGTTGTTTTACCAAAGTCTGCCTAGTGACGAGTCTAAACACTCCATGAACTATGTTGGCAAACAATTGTGAGAAAATCAATACACATACATTCACAGATCTGATATTGGTAATTGTGAGAAAATCCTGGAGATATCCAAGATTAACATGATAATCGAGAGAGCTTGAGCAAGTATAATTTTGCGGCAATGTGTAGATTTGGTGAGAATGAGAATAGCCACTGAAAAGATACATACCAGTTTATTCATGGATATACAAAACTATGACATTATTTATTGTACATGTTATAGACAAGATAAAAAACAGTTAGACCGCCGTCATATAGCTGGAATATGCGGCGTTAAACAACAAACAAACAAAAAGTTTGGGAGGGTAACAACAGGATTTAACGGGATGAAAAATATTTCATCCTATACATGCAGAAATTGAAAATAGACCCCAAAAATATTCACTACAGGATCTATATAGGACACAAACGAGTACAGATGTTGAATTATTGAACTAATTCAGTTGTAGCATGCACATCAGATTTTACTGACGTTCCTATACAGAAATATGGTAAAAGTTTGCAGAGATGGAATTTAACCAAGAACGTCGACCAGCCCAAATAGTGATAACATATAGCATTACCTCGGGCTTGGACAAGTCCAACTTTACTACCCGGCTACCTGACCCCCTATTACCCGACCCTACCTGGGTACCCATTGTTGGTCTCAAGATGTGTGAACAAAATGTCTAATTGTAAATTGTTTTAACACAGCCCTGGCAAAAACTGTTTAGGTACATTTATCAAGCGATCAGATCATGAGTACACAGGTGTTGACTGAAGCTTTATCCTTACTCAAACATATACAAGTCAAAAGTAATGGGTTCTTTGTCAGAAAGAAATGCAAACATTAGCGACTTGTAGTATAACCACTGAGCTATAGTGAATTTTTGTCATTAAACAATATGTCACATGACTAACCACGGGCCCGGGTAGTACTCATCTTCCCAAGGCAAGGGCGTTAACTGACTAAAAGTCCTGTTTCCACCCCATGCCAGAATTCCGGATTTCCACTTAGGCTAGACTAACTAGTCTATACATAGTCCAATCTCAATCGCATAACTAACTAGACAAGATGGATTTCAACATGCAGATTCTGGTCGTTTGCAGGATTTGCAAAACTTATACCGTCAACTGGGTGTCAACAGACATTTTTCAAATGTTTTCTTGTTTTTAATCAAGGTGCTCAAGCGATTTGATGCCCTTCGCAAAGTAAAACTTGTTTTATTACAATATAGATCTTTCAGGTGTGTGAATGGGCATGAGTTACCATGAATGTTTGTGTTGCAATTACGTTTTCCTGATCCGTCTATCATCATGATCATTGTTTTTGTATCAGGTATCAGCACCGGGGGTATGGCTGCCCAGCAAAGAAGATATCTACTTAAGTGTTTCTGTTTTCAACCAGTACAGAAATACACACCTTGTGACTTCAGTCTTTCCGTTACTGTTCACTGAGAGTTTCAGGTTTGAGAAGGTAAGGTGACATTTTTTAACTCACCAGACTAAAAGTCAAGTGAATTTATGTTATGGCCTGTTTGTGCAGCATTTGTTGTGTGTCGTCTGTTGGAAACAATCTTCTCCTCAGAAACTACATGAAGCTAGAACTTCACATACAGTACCGTTTCCTACCAATGATGACACTCCAATTGTTCAAGATGTTTCGATCTCAATTTCAATATGGGAACTACTACAGCCTTATAGAAAATGGGGCGGTTGGGTAGCCTAGGGGTTAAAACGTTCGCTCATCATGCTGAAGACCCGGGCTCGATTCCCGACATGGGTACAATGTGTGAATCCCATTTCTGGTGTCCCCTGTCGTGATATTGCTGGAATATTGCTGAAAGCGGCGTAAAACCATACTCACTCCCTTATAGAAAATCCTCTTTATGGCCATTACTCCAAATGTAGTGAAGTTTGATACATGTGTAGTTAGTAGTGAAGCTCTTAATATATATTCCTTTTTTTGTGATTTTTATGATTTTCACCTTGACTCTCTCTAAATACATTTCCTCTATCTGTAATCTTCATCTCCCTGGAGACCACTGAACCAATGAAGTTGACTTTTCAAATTCTTGTTCCCACCAATGACAAAACCTGAATTTGTTCAAAAGGTTTCAAACAATTATTTTGAAAGAGCTATTTATCACAATTAATCTGCCATTTTGCTACAAAATGTAGTGTTTGTAGTATTTATTAGTGGGGTTCAACATAATATTATATGTTCCAGTTATTTGAAAATATTTTACATTTTGAGTCTTAAATTCTCTCAAATGTAAAATGCCTGAGAGAACTGAACTTTGGCATGCATGTTTCTCCTAATAATGGCATAATATTTTGTTATTTATTTAGATCTGAGTGCTGTGTTTTTGTATTTATATAGAAAAAAATTAATTATCAATGTTAACAGTAACTTTATTCAGTGTCTGTCTTTGATTTTAAAACGTCTGACTAAGTATCCAGGTGAGCTACAGTGCCATGTCACTAGTTAGTTTTCATTTTACAGATTACACAATATTGAAAGTAACTATTAAGTTTTTGAATAAAATTTGGTCATATATTTTCTATAGTCTCTGCATGGCCACAACATTCTTTTAATAAAGAGAACAAAACTATATTAGAACTAATTACATATACATGTACATGTTACTGTGAAAAAAACTAAACATCCTGCACTTACTATAGTATTAGCATTTATTTTCCCCTCTAAATGGACTGTTGTTTGACTTCGTGTCAATTAACATTGATCAACACAAAATTATCTGGATCTTGCTTTTAGAAATTGAGGGAAATACTTTTTTTAATGTTTTTCCATTTTCTAAAAAATAATGCACTTACATATAAAAAATGTGTTTGTTTATAGATAAACATGTTAAATAAAATTAGGGTGTTATAAACTTTTATACAAAACTGTTACTATGTTTTCTTCAAAACATGCTGTAGTAAAATGAAAATTTTGTTTGATATATAATATAACAAGTGTGCCTAATGCAATATCGTACACAGCATCCCAATTCTGTTTTCTCTTGGTCTGTTAGGTATTTCTAAAATCTCAATAATTTGACTTATCTTAGAAATATACACTAGGCAAAAGACAAACAGATATCCTTAAGAGGCAAAGAAGTTAAAAAGATATTTAGGATTAAATACGGGAGCTGTCATTGTTTCATTAAAACAACAAATAGTACTGGTAAATATGACATCACTGAATTGTTTGATAGGCTTTACTCAGAAGTTAACAGATGACAAAGTAGACAGAATGTATGGATAACAACTTCTTTCATTACTGTAAAGGTGACATTTGGGTTGTCAAGCAAGACAGTTTTGCTTGACAACGGTATAAGGATGATGGATCTATAACGAAATGTCGCCTTTACAGTAATTAAAGAAGTTGTTATACATAAATTGTGTCTACTTACTTTGCATGACACTGCTGTTCTGAGTTCAATATTCATTACAATGAGTTTCAAAACTGCCTTTGCTACATATAGATCAACATGCAAGACTTAAAATGTGCTGACCAACTGCAGGATAACCTATAACTGTTGACAGAAACCACCTTTGTCTCAGTGTTATTTGACTCCTACTTCTGACACACTTGATTAGATAACATTGTACTGTGGTCAGTGTGCCATGGTAGGCATGTGGTGGTATTCCAGCTTCTTTTGTTTAACAACTATGTCCTGTGCTTCGGCTTTATAAATGGTCAACACATATATGGTCGTAAGCTGTTGTTCAGTGTTGCTATGGAAACCACATGTATCATTTAACATATGAACTGCATTCCTTCCACCATAATGACTCAATATATAGATTGAGTTAATGCTATAAAATGATAAGCGTGGAAGCCATGGCAACCAGGGTCAGAATAGGTTGCAGTTACTGTACTGTGGTTGGGAGAGGCGATACAATTGGATGATGTCGTCCTACTTGGAGCATGTGGAGATGGTTGCTTGAATGTCATCATACCCCAACATGCTAACAATATCAACCACTGGTTTGTCTGTCCTAGACTTGATTGTGTACAGGCCGCCATGCTGAATGCAGCTTTAAAGAGGCGCAGACATGATTAGAGTGGTGTCAATCAATCTTAATTCTTGATATTGAAGAGGCATATGACTATGATCCATTTGACAGTGTGTATTGTCTTCAAGTTCATCACATGTATGAGTGAATGTAGTTTTAGGCTGCAGTAAGCAATATTCCACATATGTTAGTCCGTAGCCCGAGTCCAGTAACATTTCTTTTGGTCAAGTGATCTTTGCTAATAAAAGTCCATTCATTATCACTTAACAAAATATCATGATGACAAGTGAAAGGTTCAAGCTGGTAGACTCAAAAGGTTTTGCACAGACTGATATGATGGCGTCAAGTCTGTGCCAAACAAACCGGTGGTGGATAGCATGAGTACCCATCCCCCTCATCAGTGTAAGACAACACACAACCCATTGTGACCACTTGATCCTCATTTGTGACTGCTTGTATGATCACCATTGGGTACTAGTTGTTCATGACCTTTGACACTATTATGTAAATTATAGTGCATGTATATTTGTTTCCAGACGTACTATACAGCTGTTGACCCAGGTCATGTTGCGGAACTCCTTGAAGGTGAGGGATTCTATAAGGCATTACTCCAGGTATTTATCTAGGATTCAAAATAAGTATCTGTGGCAGGCCATTTGTTGTTTAGTTCAAAATTGGTAAATTAAAGAAAATCTTATTTTTTAATTTCAGAGGTATATTAACATTGTAGCCAATGCAATGATTTCAGTGGACAAATTGAAATTGATTTGAAGACGATCTCCCTTTGTTAGATGCATTGCATGTGTTTAGAGACAAGCATGACACCCTGCAAAGTACCACGTAGGAAAGTTGTGGCCATCTTTTCCATCCAGCACAAATACCATACCATCTTCCCGAGGCAAGAGAGTTAACTAACTATAAAAGTTCAGTTTCCACCCTTGCCGAACTAGGCTGGTATTATGGAGTTAGATTTTGGCTGGACTAACGAGTCTATGCATAGTCCAATCAAAATCACGCACCGAAATCGAAATCCGGTTCGTAAACTGTCATGCAGATTTCGGTCGATTGCGGGATTTGCACAGTATGTGCACCGCCACCACGTTGTCAAAAGATATTTTCCAAATCTTTTCAAGTTTTTAATCAAGGTGGTCACATGATTTGATGCACATTGCGATGTAAGACCCGTTTTATCACAATATTGATCTTGATTATCGATCAGATCGTCTTGACTGGGCACCGTCATTTTATTTGAAACAAATGCAAGTGATACGAGAGATGGAATTTGATTGGTCCATAGGAGAGGCATAAAAGGGACTTACCTCATAACAGCCACTGGTGGCGCTACGATCGAGCTCAGGAATTCCAGCCTAGTTTGGCAAGGGTGAAAACTGGACTTTTAAAGTCAGTTAACTCCCTTGCCTCGGGAAGATGATACCATACCTTTACTCCACAGTCCTAGGGTGTAAAAATATTGCAATATAACTACAAAAACATTGATTTAAATGACACAGACTCAAAATGTATTAATTTACCCCTATCAACTCACAACATTCTGTTTGGATGATATTTGTATGGGTACATTAATATTTTGCTTCGGTTTCATTAAGTTCGTTAAGTTATGTGAATTGTGTTAGCTTAAATAAATTATGACAGTTACACAAAAGTGTTTAATTTGGTTTAGTTATATTGGACATGTCCATCATCTGATTGTATATGCATATTGATGTATATGATTTCGGTGAACTGTGTTTAACATAAAATCTTCTTATAGATGAACTGATCATCTTCGAGCTTCTGCAACTGTCGGAATACACCGATGGCGCTGTCCGTCTTGCCACGTTCTCCACCAACGCCAGGGACTTCCTCTACCCCTACCCCTCCCTCGCCCCCTCCTACTCCTCCGCAGACAGGGAAATTCTCATGAGCAGGACCATCGCCTTCCCGGTCAGTACAGATGATTCTTAAACTTACAGACATGTCTCTGTCACGCTTCAACTCACAGATTGGGACTTTGATTAATCTGCAAACACCATTTTTCATTTAGGAGACCCACCTACTGTGTTTTGAATTTTAATGATTTGAGACATCTAAATTTAGTTTGCAACTGAATACGTAATTTAGAGGTTGCAAATAAATGAAGAGAGACCTCACAATTCAAAACATAGTCAGTGTGTTACATGTACCAATAAATTCTATTGCTACCATGGTGAAGATAGATAATGAGTTATGTGTCATGACTTGAGTCTGATGTATTTTAGTTAGGAGGTCGTGATTAGAATGAAGGAATCAGTGTGTCTGTCTGTGCCAGGAGACTTTGAGTTGTCTTTTGGGATCATTTTACAGTAGATTTTAGTGTGATATCAGCACAGTTGTTGCCTAAGCTTAGATTTTAGTGCTGATATGAGGAGAGTTATTATGTTACCAGGGATATCAGGGTTGTCTAAAACCCTTTTTACCTAGGCAACTGATTCTAACCAGGCCTTGGTTCCGGGGATGACGTAGCTCGTTCAAATCATAAGTCAGGTTTGTTGTTCAACTATTGTAGGCTGTAGGATGAGAATTACACACAAGAGGTCCTCAGATGTATTTCTGCTGCCTGACTATTATACCCACAACCTATGTCTAAATGATGCACACAAGAGGTCCTCAGATGTATTTCTGTTGCCTGACTATTATACCCACAACCTATGTCTAAATGATGCACACAAGAGGTCCTCAGATGTATTTCTGTTGCCTGACTATTATACCCACAACCTATGTCTAAATGATGCACACAAGAGGTCCTCCGATGTATTTCTGTTGCCTGACTATTATACCTACAACCTATGTCTAGATGATGCACACAAGGGCCATATATGAAGACACTTCATCTCAACTTGTAACTCCTAACTTTCAGTTATCTCGACTTCCCAAATGTAGAGAGAACCTTTCTGGTTAGCGGTGAGAGTTAAAGTCCCGCACCAGTCTCTGACAACAAAATACTTTCTTAGTAATTTTAGCACCTCCCACCAAAATGAGTTGTAAGTCTTTGTCTCTCATGGCCTCCATGTTTCAGTTGTAAAAGAACCAACATGAGTTGTCTCTTTGGCTCAACAATAACTAATTTCCATTTTCTCAACTTCTGATTGACATTCAGTCAGCACTACCAATCTCCTCCTTACTAACACACTCCTATTTGTATTCAGATCAATCTTTGCACTATCAATCAATAACAAACCCGACTGATAGGCGCCAGAAGATACCAAAAAGCACCACAAGCAGTGCAAAAGCTGACTACTAATTACAGACGGACTATTCCCTTCTGACCTCTTGGTAACAACTCACAAGAACTTGACATTTTTTGTTACACACATAAAAATATGAAGTCGGATTCCTCAGAGGTCTCACCAATGTACAGCTATCCTTTGTTACATATCCAACACATAATATCCCATACATAATTTCAACAAAGAAATCCTCTCTGAAATTCTGAATTACAGATACTAAATATAGCCTGGTTATAATTACCTAATGTGCAGATCCAGAGGGGCGCAGGACTGTGCATATTGCCAAGTCACTAAATACACACCTCCTTTTACAAAACACTGTATCTACACTTCTACAGTCAGGCTTTAGTCTTGTGGTGATGGTCAGAACTTAAGAAGCCACAGGTGACTGAGAATTAACTGTATACAAAAAGGCTTTTCCTGGGTCTATCTGTTTTCCTTGGCATGAAAATTGGGGGGAAAGTCTCTATTTTGCTTCATTATTTGATGTTCTAAGATGCTTATTTTTTTTAATTCAGGGATATTTTAACAATGTATTCTCAGCATTGCATTCAATGCAGCAGTATAAATCTAATCATTAAAACTTAAAGTCTCTACAAGCCTGTAACAATAGAGATATATTAACATGAACTGGACAGGTTTTTGATTCCAGTGTGGTAATTTTTACTGACATTTGTGGCTGACTTGGGGCCATATACTAGCCTCTGCGCAGGCCAAGATAACCCAGCTGCATTGTAGATTGTGGTTTGATGCTGTATGTTTAGAATGGCAATGACAGTGATATATGTTTATTCCAGGGTATCTCCCCCAAACTAGAGTTCTCCACCCGGAGTGTAATCAGGGAATCTCTGTCTCCAGAAGTAGATGCCTTAGAAGATGCCGTAGAGGATGTGCGGGTAGGTTGTCAGATACATGGATTTTCTTCAAGCTTGGCAGTTCTGGCAGTTCTGTCAGGTTATTTGTTTGCATACCAGCCGCTTGGGGATTCTGGTGCTGAATGGGCCCCCAATATCCTATTCTTGTTGTAAGAGACCAATATGGTTAAAATATGCAGTGTTTGGGAGATTTAGATACTTAGGTGTAAACTTCCAGGACTCCAGGACCCCCGTTAATTTTGAACATTGAATAAGTGACGTGACTGGTTGGGTGTCATCATGCACAAGGTGTTGAGCATTGCTTATGTTCTCAAAGAAAACTACTGATTTGCATGACTATGACTTGAGTGTTTACAAACTGACGTAATATACCTTGAATTTTTGTAAAACAACGTTCAGTCACCATCAGTAAATGATTTGGTATTTTGGGGGATTGAAAAAGTTTTCTATCTTTGTGACATAATTCAATGTGTTTTCAAACCAAGATGAAATTGCCATTATGTGGTAATGCCTTTACTGAGATATCCAGCCAGTGGCCATGGTTAGACCAAAGATGTAATTTCTTACCACTTTAGCTCCCTCGTCATGATATAACTGAAATACTGTTCAAAGTGGCAATAACCTCTTACTAACTCTGCTGTAATAGAAAATTTGAATGTTGACAGATGATGCCATGATAGTATTTTGTTTGTCTTCAGCTAAGCAGGCTAAGGAAAGCAAGGAGAACACCATCAATTACTAGAAGGTAAAATGTCTGAGTTATCTCCCTTACATTGCTGTGCTGTTTGCTGTACAGATAACCTTGTAGACAGATACTGCATGCTTCACAGTGTTAACCAGTGCCTGCTAACTTCACACAACAAGGCTAGTTTAAAAGTTGTGTCATTGTTGACAACTGTTGTGTAGTTGTAGGCTGACAATGCAGATGTTACAGTTGAGAGTAATGGTTAGCTGAGAGATTCAGTGCTGTACAATGATACTGAACGTGCTGAAGGGGAAATCATTCTTCCGCGTATGTTTTAAGGTGTTCATAGGTATCCGATGTAATTGCCTTTGCAAAGTTGTTGCTCTTGAAATTTCGAAAAATAAGGTCAGTTAATTTATCAACTTTGAAAAATAATAACTTTACAATATATTGCTTCATACACTCTTTTGTTCTTCCCTGTTTGGACCCAGGGTAGAATATGTGTCCTGTTGCCAGCCGTAAGAGGCGACTAACATTAGGAACCTGTGAGGATTCCGAATTGGTCCGTAGAAACCTTTGCTGGTCGTAAGAGGCGACTTAATCGAACAGGTGGTCAGACTTGGTGACTCGGTTGATGTCGTGTCAGTTTACCCCAAAGACGAGGATCATTGCTCGTAATATCAATCACTGGATTGTTGATTGTTTATTATCCACAGTCATGCAGCTTGAATATTACTGAGTGCTGTGGTAAACAACAAACAAACTAAACATGTAGGTTATTAATAATTTGGCCTCATAGTTGTCAATGAAAATTGATGTATTATAGTTGAGGGAAAAGTAAGTGATGAATTATCTCCCCTTGATTTAGCAAAAATGTTAATGAGATGCTTTATTGTATTTGCTAGATGCATGAGTTTTTGGTTCTATTAGAGGTTAGACATTAATGTGATTTAACAGCTTTATTTTTGAGATGGAGAGGTGAGATGGACGAGGAGTCCATTAACACAGCTGTTGGAGTGATCTTGGTATTGTTTTACATACTAACCATTAACATTACAAATAGTACAAAGTAAGTTTTTTTCAGAAGAAAGAAATGGTCTATTTTACAACTTCATCTTGCTATTTTTCAATTTTAGAGTGATTGTAACTGCAACATGTTTTTAGTTTTTCTTAAATGAACAAATTATATACACATAAATCCATTTCTTTTCAAGATATTTGGCTAAAAATATATATTTGATTTGCACAATTTCTTTAATGAAATTGACCTCCTTCAGTTAACCCCCCTCCACCCTTCTCTCCATCTCTCTAGGTGTGGATCCCCTCCAGGAATATACTACCGAGTCGACCGTGACTACCAGCTGCCAACATCAGCTTTTGTTTCTCGTTCCAGATCATCCTCCCCAAGTCTCAGGGTCAAGTATGAAGATACCAGTCTAGAGAGTACTATTGATGGACGACCTCCTTTTGTTGTTAGGAAGGTAAGTTACAGGAAGGATGAAAGTACATTGTAGTTGTAGAGAAGATGTGATATTGGATAGGTGATACTGGCATTAACTGAGCTGGTTACAGGTTTAATGTCATAAGTTGAAATAATTGTTCTTCATTTTGTCTCTTAAACATGTTAAGATGTAATTTAAGAAATAAAAAAAGTAATATGTATGGAACAACCTACTGGGAACTCAAAATTACGGATTTTCTGTCTCTTAGGACTTACACCATTCGTTCACTTTGGACAGATAATTCATGACTCCTCGTAGGCTCATCAGCTATTGTCCAAAGTAGTTCTCACATTCCACGACTCTATGCACATAGAGCAGACCAGCCTTGTTCAGATTGGATTTTTTTACAGGCAACCAGGACATAATATTTGAAATAATTTTAATACCCAACAAGACAGTTGGGCAGGTGACCCATAAATGTTGCCTGCCCATCTTCAGAGTTACCTGACCAATGAAAGCGTAGGTTACAAAAGTTAGACTTACTTCCCTTCATCCACCGACAATAATGGATCGCCAATGACAGTATGAGAAAAATCGCGAAAAATAAGAGACAACTCATGTCTTGATTCAGTTGAAATAATGCAAACAATCAATTGAGAATTACGAGAAACATGAATGTTTAAATATTCATAAAATTATCTGTCAGACAATCGGGCAGGAGGAGGAAAATTTCATGCAGCTTGGCCAATAAGTTTCCAGCCACGGTCAGGCGGGCAGGCAGTTATTTCGGACAGTGCTATGATGTAGCTGGAATATTGCAGTTAGAAGCAGCATTCACTCTCGCTCAGGGTGGATTTACGTATTTGTTTACTAGGGCTGTTACGATTCACCGGCGTATTCGGTGACTCGAACTGTATCCATTCATGAATTGAATTCATTATTTGTGGCCACTAGAATCGAATATTTATGAATATGCAATCATGTGCATTTACATAACCTGTACCTAAAAATATCCATAAGAACATATTATATGCATAGATTTCTTCAAACCCAACACTCTTATAATAATTAATTTGACAGTACTGTGGTCACTGGTCATTGTTGCATTTGAGTAGGTACTAGTACTTGGATAAGTACAGTATATAAATGTATAATATATTAATAATTAACAAACCATGTCAAATAATTTATATTATTGTTTCACTGAAGATAACAAATAATACATCACCCGCTGACTTGTTATTGTATACGTGTATTAATATTTGTATTCATTATCCGAAATTCATTAAATGAATCGTATTCGCCTCATAGTGTATTCGTTGCAGCCCTAATGTTTACTCATGTGTTGTCTTTCAGCTCACAGATGATTTGATAGGACGTAACCCAGGTGGTCCTACAGCCAAACATGCCAAGTCAAAGAAGAAGAGTAGCTTGTTGAGTCGGTCACCGAGTTGCACCAGTCTCAGTAAGTAGTGCTTGACTTCATAGAATAAACTCAGTTATAATGATATGGCAGGGATGTCACTGTGTGACCTGATTGTGTGCCAGGGTACCCTGGGGATTGATTCATCCCTGATGTGGCAAGATTTGATTCAAGTGTGAAACAACATTCACTGACTCACTCTCTCATTACACTTAAGATCATCTGCTGTTTGATGAGGTACTTGGACACGTTGTCAGCTGGCGTTGTTTCCTCAGTGTGAAACAACATTCACTGACTCACTCTATCATTACACTTGAGATCATCTGCTGTTTGATGAGGTAATTGGACACGTTGTCAGCTGGCGTTGTTTCTGTCGATGTCCATGTTATTTCAGTGTAACCTTAATACATGTATATATTTCAGACCATTTCTAATGTCTCCCACTGTGATATTTCTGGAAACTGTAGGAACATTTATAATTTATTGATACATTGATATCGCGACAGACAATGACATCCCTACTATCAACCTTTGGTTCAGACTCAAATATTTATAGGGGCTGCAGGTGGCCCATTCATCTAAGGAACCGCAATTCCCTGTGCAGAGTGGCACCCCTAAGCAATATTGCTGAGCAGCTTAAAACAAAATTCACTCACTCACATTAATGATTCATATATGAAGTAAAACATTGACCTATGGGTCGGGACACAAAACGATATTACTACTACGACAGCTGTAAGCCTATGTTAAACATGTTAAAGTAAGGGAGTTACAATGTTCTCAGTGCTAAGAGAGGCTTTGTAGAATATGGCCCTGGTCTCAGTCCCCATTATGTTAATGCTTAATGGATATCAGCTGTAAATTTACGTTATCAAATCCTCTACGTGGGACCAAGCTAAGACTTGATTGCATTTCCATCAGGTCTCCGCCACCTACAGTGCCCAACGTGTCTTGATGTATATAGCGAGGCCAACTGTCTAGTCTGTCGTGCCTACCGCAGACACATGGGGCGGCCATACTGGGGCCACACCCACTTCCACCACCCCACGGGGCATATACATAATTACAAATGGAGAGAGGTATTGTCTACTTGTAGCACTGCTTGGTGGTCAGTGTATAGCTCACTGTATAGCTCACTGTGGCCATTACGTGCTGTCTGACCTTCATGGTCATGTCTGCTGGGCATGGTATTTGTCACTGGTTTTATTAACACTGCATGAGTTTATGAATATGCTTGATAAGCATGATAAGCAAAATTTGCACTTGGGTCTCAAGTCTAATTAGGAATGCTACCGAAAAGCATGTTTTAAGTGTCTCTGTTTCCTGCATGTGAATAATATTTCAACAAATCCTAGCATGGTTGGATCTTTAGATCTTATTCTTATTGCAAGTTTACTAATGAATTGTGATTAACAGACAAAGAGTTCATGTAGATACACTTATTTTATTTTTAAGTACTAAGTAACAAAACTTAAAAAAAGTAATTGTTTTCATTATGATCCGTCATTCACAGATTATTTCTAAAGACGAGTTTGTTTAATGACAGTGAATGTTTCACAACTTATCCAAGCTATTTGTCTTTTGACATTTACGTAGTTGTAATAAAACAAAAGGAAAATACTTCAGCACCAGAACGACAAACGTAATATTTGAGCTTGCACTGGTAGTGCTATCTGTGTCCCAAGACAGTACATTGAAGCTAGCTGATGACTTTCGGTATTGTTTCCTCAAGAGGTAGGCTCCAGCATGGTTTGTTGACCCTGAGTCATCACATCCCCCTTCCTTGCTTCCCATGCATGTTGGTATTGGGCATGTTCTGTGTTCTAGGTATATACAGTGACCTTGACTACCCCCTGAAGCATGAGTATCGGCTGAAAAAGGTAATATTATGTCTGGCCGATTCCACGGCAAAACAGTACCATTTTTAAAGATATATCTTGTTTGGCATTATGTGAAAAGCAAGGATTAATGAATATGAACAGTTAGTTGCTGATGGCCAGGAATCTGAATTGTCATTGTGAAATTTGAAATAATTGAAATGGATTAATCCATGTTTTGACAATTTTAACAAAAACACAGTTTTTATTTATTTAATTATTTTTGTTGCTTCTTCTGGATTCGACCAGCTGGAGCTAAACACTACGATAAAAAAATATTATTATAAAGGAACCAAACCTTCTCAGAAATAATAATGTGCACACGTTACTGTGCAAATGGTACACTTCCTCCATTTTACAACAGTATTAGCATTTATTTTACCAACTAAACTGACAGACCAAAACAAATTCATGCCAAGTGAAATATAACAAATTACTGAGCTACACACATGTATTTTTATTTCAACCAAGCCAAGCTTTTCATCCAAAAATACTTTGAAAAAGTGTGACCAAGGGAATGTAACAGTAAATGTCCAGTGACACACTGCTTGCTTTTATAGTATGTTATCACATCTGCTTGCGAAATGTTGCTTTTTGTTGATCATTGTACAAGTTTTGGTGTGTTGATTCAATATCATTCAATATATCCTGTTACAGTGGTTTCTGTGTTGATGTATTTTCAAGTTGAGGTAAATTGAGATTCATTTGTGACGAATCAAATGCACTTTTGTACTGCAATATATTATTTATAAACATGTATAAGGAATTATAATAATTATAATAACATCCTTACCTTCCCCGTCAGCAAGCTGACATGGTAAGGATGTCATCTGTGGAATAACTCCACGCCCTGATACAATTGCATGCCATTGTACCTGATGGCATGGATCGTTGCTCACAATACTAATCACTCGATTGTCTCGTTCAAACTTGATTATTTACAGACCACTGTCATATACCTGGAATAATGGTGAGTGCGGTGTTAAATAACAAACAAAAACACAAACAAACAAACAAAACAAAGAACATACTTCAGGTTTACCTACCACATTTTCCCTGACACTAATTTTCCTAATGACTACATCATGTTCATGTTGACTTTATTTAGTCTTCCATTACCTTTTAGGTAATTCGTGAGCCCTATGAAGACCCTCTTCCAGTGTATGCGTCCCGCTATGGCACTGATGATGATGATGATGGTGTGTTGTTGTTGAGTTTTGTATTCTTGGTTCTGACATGTCATGTTTGTACACTTCTTGTTCCTCCTTTTGAGCAGAAGGAAGTTCGGTACTTGTTTTACAATAAACATGTCAAAATATTTTGTAATTTGATTCAAATGGACATACATTTCGCAAAATACTATATCAAACTATGAAAGGTATTTAGCATTAGGGGTACCACTACCTTGAAATGCTAAAAGTTTCTTTGAACAATTCTGTATGTAGATGTATGAATGGGCTTGAATTGTTGAGTAAATTATTCATATTGATATTTTCTTTACATATTTTTAAGCAGTTTTGGGAAAAAACCAATTCTCTTACTGAATCTGTGATTGGTTATCAGATGCTGAGGTAGCTGAGCTGACATCATCCCTAAGAGATATCCATGTGCCTCGAGTGCGCCCACGTTCTGTGAGCCCCGTGCTGTACACCCCTAGTTACCGCGCCCGATTTGGTGATAGGAGCTTCTCCCCATCCTACAGCCTGAGTTCTCGGGTGGACAGCATCCTGCGGAGGAACAGGTCCCTTGAAAGACTAGATCGACTCAGTCCTGTAGACACTATTCCGGTATGGTATTTCTGTCGACTTTATCTTGATTTTCTTAACTGATAGCAGAAGATTTTAGAAAAGGTACTTTAATGTTTGTACTTCAGGGGATGAGACTCTTAAATTTGTAAAGGCTTTTTTTGGCCAAAGGAAATTAATATTTGTTCAATCTGTAAGTTTTTTTTTTACAGCAATGAGCCAAGGTACTGAACTCTGTATGATTGGATAACATTGGGTCAAGGTCAAGGTCACTTGGTGCAAAGTAGACATCCCATAGAACTTGTGTACACAATATTATCTTGAGCTTTTATAATTGGAGTTTTAGGAAACTTCAGTTACATGAACTATGGACAGTTAATGGCTGAGATTGAAGGTGAAGGTCATTAAAGCAGACATGCTTCAAAGTTATACTGCATTGGGCATGTGTTTTCCCAAACTGGAAGTGATGTTAAAGAAAGAGAAGTGCTTATAAGTTTTGTATTGAGGTAGCTAGAGGCATAGACCTTTATGTTTCACAGTAGTACTGCATAGGGCATGTGTCTTCCCAACACATTTTAAATGAGAAGTGCTTCTAATTTGTTATTAGAATGCCTAGAGGCATATGACTTCTGTTTCAAAGTGGAACTGCATTGGGCATGTGTGAGGCCAACTATCAGCTGGAGGGGTAAAGTTAAGATGGTTCTGATGGGGAATGGTTGTGGCATTCAGAAAATGGTTGGGATGGGGCTGCTTCTGTTATGTATGTAATGCAAAACCCCTTTCTAGGTAATCTTTGCACGTGGACCAGACCATACTGCAATGATATTTGAGGTTATATATGTTATGAGTTCATTGTCTGTGTGTCCTCTGCTTCAGGTGTACACAAGGAGGTACACATACTATGACTCTTTGGATGACCTTGAGCTGGAGACCAAGCTGGCCAGATCCAGGAGGTACTACACGTACTACTAAATCCTGACCAACCAGGTTACTTTCATTTTATTGTTCTCTAGTTTGTAGTGCATGGAGTCAAGATTCGAGGGTCGATTGAGAAGTTCTTAGACTCACCTAGAAGGAATTGCATAATAGTGAAATCTTTGTTGTGGAATTACATGATGTCATTGAGGGCAAATGTTTCAGTAAAATAAGCAGGGGTCTGTCACCATTGATAAATGGACAAACTTGAGGAATGTACTTTGATCAAGTTCTTTCACAAAAAGAGCTTAACATCAAAAGCGATCCATGAAGATATGCATACAACACCAAGGAAGGATGCCTCATGTGCCACAGTAAGGAGGCGGGCAGCAGAGTTTAAGCAGGGAAGGGAGACCACCATCCTGGAAAGCCTGTGATGTCATCAACACTAGAAATGATCAGGAGAATCCATGGTATGGTGATGACTGACTGGTGAATGACTGAGCATCATATTGCTAGTTCAGTTCCCAAGCGAGAGTACATTCCATTATCACAGAGACATGTCTTATGATAATCTAGCTCTGTTTGAAGCTGGTCCAGAAATGATCTTGCAATGATTTGTGACTATGGATGAAACCTGGCTTCACCACTTCCAGTCAAAAAAACCAATCTAAACAGGGGAAGCATTTGACATCACCACCATCAAAAAAGGCAAAGGCTGTCCCATCAGCTAGAAAGAATATTGTATCCTTGTACTGGGATGCTGAGGGTGTCATCATGGTGGACTATCTTCCAAAAGGCCTGACAATAGATGGAGCATATTTCGTTGCACTTTTGAGGCAATTACGGGATGAAATTAAGACCGAGAGAGCTGGGAAGCAGAGAAAATGTGTGCTCTTCGAATGATGACATCATAGCAGCTGTGGAGAACTGTTTGCACTTCCAACATAAGGAGTGTGGTATTGCGCCGCCTTTAGCAATATTCCAGAAATATCATGGAGGGGAACACCAGAAATGTGCTTCACACATTGTACCCATGTGAAGAATCGAACCAAGGTCTTCGGTGTGATGAGCAAACACTTAAACCACTAGGCTAAGCCTAGTAGCCTAGTGGTTAAAATATTTGCTCGCCACACCAAAGGCCCACTGACTCACTCACCTTCAACAAAGTTGGCAAACGGATATCAATGTGAACGAAGATTATTTCGAAATGTCAAGTCTTTCTATTTGAGGCTCAGAACTTATCAGGGACGGTGGGGTAGCCTAGTGGTTAAAGCGTTTGCTCATCATGCCGAAGACCAGGGTTCCATTCCCTGCATGGGTACAATGTGTGAAGCCCATTTCTGGTGTCCCCCACCGTGATATTGCTGGAAAATTGCTATATGGTGTAAAACCATACTCACTCACTCAAAACTTATCAATCTACCCTCATTAGATTCTACCATAACCTCCAAACTGAAAATATAGTTTTTTTTCCTAATTGTTTGATGCCACTGCTTTTAATTTGTCTTTGGTGTTTAAAAAATGTTTTTGGTTATTGTTATTACTAATGTTATTTTACAGTTATTACTGACATGTTGCACTGTCCTAATAACTTCAAAGCAGCACAATAATCTACAAGAATGGTATCTTACGTCTATAATAACACCAAGCACCATATAAATGTCATAAGCAGTTCCAGACCTCCCTTCTTCAACGTAACAACATCTCGAACATGCAAATTTTTTGCATTCATCTGGCATGTTGAATGTTAAGTGCATTTCCTCTTTTCCAAGAAATTGTAATTGTTGGGGGCACGGGTGGCCCAGTCGTCTAAGGCGCTGCAATTCGCTGTGCAGAGTTGCGTCCCTTGGCCAAGCCAGAAACCTATGATTGTGGGTTCGAAACCCGGTTTGCCCCAATAATGTTTCTAGGTTTGTCAGCACCATACCCGTGCTCGTTGGTTTCACCGTTGGTAAACGTCTGTAAAACTGCATCACTTCAGGCTTTCCTCCCACATTAAGTGGGACATGCCGTGATATAATTCGAATACTGTTAAAAGCCGCATTAAAACCAACTCACCCACTGTAATTGTGCATGAATGTAGAATGCATTTCTTGCTACAGGAGGGAAACAGATATTTTGGCAAAGTGAAAAAAATTTCTTTCTATTTGATTCTGCTTGTTTCTATTATGTTCCCCAAATCATTTAGTTACTCCTCTTGGGTCACGGATTAAAGTGTCCCAACTTTTCAAGGTGATTTATTTACCATACAAGTGTGAGTTTGTTAGGATGGTTTTAGTCATCTTTTAGCATACTACTGCAATATTGCTGCAAGGGATACAAAACCTCTGGCTTCCTACATTGTGCCCATGTATGGAATTGAACTTTGGTCTAACGGTGTGGCAAGCAAACACTTTAGCCACTTAGCTACCTCACTGCCGACCCTTCTGGTAGAGTTATCCCCCTTTGGTCTTAATCTATTGACTTGAGTTTTGACAACAATATGTGTATTAAAGTCAAGTTTTTTATTCAATACAAAAACTGGGAAAAATGTACTGGAAATCAACAACCCCTGACAATCTGATTCTTGATTTATATGTCAGTGTTTTGTGTTTCAGCCTTGTACACCTCGATGAAGGAAAGTACTGGACACCCAATTCAGCAAAACTGAGCGGTAAAACACATCGACAGGTTTTCACCGATACCCTTAGTACCATATATGGAAAACTTTACAATACAGCTAGAAAACAGAGTCCTCACAAGTTTACATAGAACTGTTTTATGATTACTTTTATAATGGACTTTAGTTACAGCACTGGTTGGAACGGACAACTGTTGTCAACGTCTTCATCAGAGATTAGCTGCTGAAAGAAATATATACATAGATAAATATGTGATGGGACAACAGACAGATCCTTTAATCGTGGTTGGACACTGCAGTTTATTCCTGGGGAAACTATCACTGAATCTTAATAATTCAACATTTATTCAACACAATTTGTCCGCACTGTTCCGACCAGTGATGAGATAGACTCATGTTGTTGTGTACAACTGACCATTCTTCTAGATATTTGATACATAATATTTGATATGAAATCCTATTTTTCAATAATTTTTCAAAGGATGATTACATCTTATAATACTCCACGTTGTTATTTATTGCTGTTTGTAATATTCAATCATATTTGTACATCATGAAATGAGTGAAGTTATGTTTCATGTTTTTAACAAGCAAGGGAAATGCAAGGTCACAAATATATATTTTGAAAAACAATTAATTTGATAGAAGGTAAAAGATGAAAAGAGTTCACAGAAGGCATTGTATCATTCCTTGGTTTGAGTCGTTTCATTATTATTTTGTTATCAACAGAATAGAAAAATGAAGCACTATTTTTGGCACATGAGACCATAAATTGTACATGTTTGAGAGAAAGAGCTATGCATATATCATCTACACATGCTCAATGCTACTGCCAGGGGTATTTTATGATCAGTCACTGTTTTTAGAACTGGTTTATTGAAAGGTGAAGTCCTTTTGAACATGTTGAAATAAGCCTTATATTGTATATAATGTTATTTGTTACCATGGAACCTTGCAAATGTTGCATTTCACTAAATGATTTTAATGTAAAATGAATTTTAGATTGATTGTTAGACACTGTATTATCTTACATATATACACATTTATAACAATTGTTCATGATTACTTGAACCTGCTGAAAGGTTTTTCGATTGAACATGATTTTGATATATTGTTAGTTGGTCACATGGATGTAGCTTTTAGTTAAGGTACAGATCTGTCCATTTGAATTGCCGGTAGTTAGATTTATATTAAATAACTCAGTATTTTAAACATCTACCTCTGTTGTCTGATGGTAGTAGATGTGTAAGAAATATTCTGTGATTCGATTAGAAGTTTAATCAAGGAAGTGAGACCAAGGAAGTTATCAGCGATTTCATCCTGAATTGGAACAGTAAATTTTCAGCATTTTATATTTATCATGATTTTTCCTTAATTTGAAAGAAACAGATTTTTTAAGTTAACAATTAAATCTCCTTTTGGCAAAATTTGGTAACAATATCTTCAAAAACTTTCTTTGAAAGTCTATAATTCTTATCCCTTACTTACCATTATTCCCTGTATGTGAAGATCTGGTTGTTGTAAAAAAGATTTAATAGTAACTAATAATGATATATAAGAGACAGGTGGAGAGCAAATCCGGTCCGATCTTTGGCATGAAAGTCAAGGGGTTGTTGTCATAACCTCAATGTTGAAACTGAAAGTTAAGGATTTAGGGGGTTCCTAGATTCCAGTGATATGGCAGCAAACCTCAGGATTCCCAGACCCCCCCCCCCCCCCTCTTTAATTTTTCAAGATGGATTACTTAAATTATATCTTAAAGTGAACATCAAATTGCTGTTTTTGTGTAGACTTGATCTGATTTCTGTTACAAGTGTGCGAGAAAGTATCAGTCACTTTGGGACCACATGTCTTCTGGACAAGCTGTCTTCGACATAATCCACTGTATCTGTGATATATATAAAGTTTGTTATATACATTGTAACCTTTGTTTTCTCTATAAGCATAAAGGTCTTATATTCTCCAATAAAATTTCTATCGCAAGAAATGCCTTTGTTTTAAAAAATCAGACAGATATGTCAGTGGTTCAATCCCAGGCCGCTTCATACCAAAAGACGGTAAAAGGTGGTACTTGTTGTTACCCTGTCTGGCACTCGGCATTAAGGGGATAAAACAACTGCACAGAGGGGGAAGACATACCTTCATTTGGGCAAATGGTTGATAATAAGAAATATTGTGTTTTAGTGGACAGTAATTTAGGACTGGCCTTACCCTAAATGAATGAACTTGCCCTTGAGCCCAATTCCGATTTCAGAGCAGTCGAGGTCTCAAGTAAATAATGTCATGGCGTGTGTCATTGAAGGCTATCAACCACTAGTTTTGTCCTCAAGTTGGTCCCGGTGCTGTAACAACGATTCTGTGACACTCACTCTATGTCCAGCTGTCAATAGGGCCATCTTGTAGGGGTCAGAATGGCCTAGTGGTCTAAGTCACCAATGTAAAACCGTGTAGAGTAGTGTCCTTTTGGTATGCCAGGCTCTATTGATCGCAGGTTTGAAATTCCAGATTTGTGCAGACTTTGGCACTTGGTTAGCACCATATCTATGGTTTATGGTTTCACCATTGATTGAGTCTGCCCAGGCCATGAGGTATAATATGGCCTTAGAGGAGTCACTGGAGGACATAAACACTGGCCTGAATATGTCACAGTGAAAGTTCCTATCTGCAAAGGGCTCCATATTGCTGTTTGTGAACAAACACCTTGCCCATGGACTCATGGTGAAAGTGACTGACTCTAAAATTAGCACAGGTGTGTAAGCCTCGTTTTGGGATTAATCAGGGCTTGAAATAAGCCATTGATGGTTATCTTTAAACCATATATGGACTTAATAATGTTTCAAAGTGACCTATCAAGAGGTTCAGAGATGGACTTTGTTGCACAGTTCCAGAGGAGATTCAGTGTCGTGTTTGAAACTAAGGCTTAGTGTATTGTTTCATGTATGTTCACATGGTGCAAGGCTATATTACATCTTGTTAGCCTATTGTAATTTATTTCGGTCTCTCGAATCATTTGCTGGCTAAATTTCAGAGGGTAAAAAAAACATAACAGCAAGAGATGCATGGCCACATCACTGCAGTTCTTCAACAACTACGCAGGCTGTCTGTGCATTATGGTATACAGTACAAGGTATTGGTCCTTGTCTTCAAATGGGTGAAAGGACAAGCTCCTGGGTATCTTACCTGTCTACAGAATCAGCACCAACCAGCTCAATTGTTGAGGTCCAGGGATTGGCACTTCTGCAAGTTCCGTTCATAGGCTAAAAAGTTTTGCATGGCTCTTTCAAAAGATGAGGTTTCAGGACGAACAAAGGTGATTTTGAATGATTAGAATCAAACTTGCTAGGACGCACTGTCAGTTAGCCCGAGTTCAGACCAGCTTGAACAGAGTGTTCTGAAATAAACTGATGACTGGGATCTTTGCCACCTGGTGAGTACAAGGTGTGGAATAGGCATGGCGAACCATCGTGTTCCCTTCTAGCTAAAACTGAGTCGCCACTACAGCTGCTGATAAAACTAAGGTTTTTAAAGAATATCAGATTACAATGGAAAATGGAAAATCGCGCAATATATATACTCGACGGTAAAACTATTCACAAATTAAACAACCATTTCACACTCTCTCTGAAATGATTGGGAACATTTAAGGTCATGATATATGCCGTTATGCCTTTGTCTTTGGTCAAAAATATGTTTTTCTATCATAAAGTGGGCACGGCTGGACCTGTGCAGAGTAGCGTCCCTTGGGCGTGCCAGATTCTAGTGATCGTAGGTTCGAATCTTAGATTGGTCCTGGTTACGATTCTTAGTTTGTCAGCATGGGAACTAGTCAACTCGTTCAAGAACAAAGTTGCCGACACGCCTTGATATAACTGTAATTCCGTTAGAAGTAGTGTTAAACCCAGTTCACTAACCCATTCACCCATTGGCCTAGAATCGAAATACCTTTGCTACAATGTTTATAGTACAAACAATTTTAGAAAACTTCAGTGGTTTCAATAACATGGAACAAGGCCTGTATTCGACAAACTCTATCTAAATAGAACCAATTGTTCACCAAATCATTATCCTGTATTGACCTGTCTGTGAAGTGCTCCCTCCGTGTCACACCCGCTCGTCCAGGTATCAAGTATCACTCTCGGCTCATTATCTCAGCGTAAACAACGTTCCCCTGCAACAAGCTTCTCGTGGACTTTCTCTTTTGTCCGTATGACAAGCCGCTTTGACTTATACCCTAACTCAACTGAGTATTTGTCTTCATATCAACGCTGGTTACGTTCCAGTGCCTGCTATTTGTCTTGCGATTTGTCGATAAGATTAAAACCTTCTATAAATATCAAAAATTTACATTTGAAGTCTAGAGACCACTCGGTAGGGGATTAGAGTTACACGAACGATTTGTGTATTAGGAAACTTGAAAGATTGCCTGGTATTTATTCAGCGTGTGGTCGTAGAATGGTATAGTAATCATGGCTTTTGATGGAGACTCGTTCTATTTGTATACAAGTCTCAAAGAGGAAGATTACACTGAAGGAGTCTATGCTTTGTTACATGTAAGTACTATGTATTTTCTGCTGTGGTGGATACATGTCTATTATTGAATAATGCCTACATTATGTTCAAATTGGAAGTTTCACTCTGGAAGTTTCAAAGTGTTTGCTATGGAATCCTAGAAGGGACTTGTCGCGTTGTCACACTTACCAAAACAAGCAACAAGTATCATAATTTACCAAAGCGCGCCAACGCGACACTATCCCTTCTAGGATTCCATATACTCCCTATGGTGGCTGGTTTCTGCAATTTTTCAATTTGTATCATCGCAGGTGTTCCGCTACCACGCCTCCCGACTACAGCGTTGTGTCGTCATTAACACGAGTGAGTGAGTCGGGTTTTACGCCGCTTGTACAAATGCTTCAGCAATATCACGTCGGGTGACGCCAGAAATGGGATACCCATGATAGGAATCGAACCCGGGTCTTTGAGCTGACTATTAGGCTACCCAACAGCCCCAACAGACAAGCAATATGTCTATGTTCGCCGGACAGCGAATGTGTACACTGTAGGATCAGAATATGATGGTAATGTACATCTGTCAGAGTGCCAGAAGCGCCCGTAAAAGTATGCCGACACCGAGAGACGTCATTTACCGTAAAATAGCGAACTGATGTGATTGTGTTTATGTCGGTAAAGGGGCCACTGGCCCATTCATTATAGGTAACACATTTCATCAAACAATGACGATCACGTGGTCCGGTAGAGTGAGTCAGTGAGTTTAGTGACTGGGCTACCCGTGCTTCTGGGTCGGTCGAATGATTTTGTTTGTTTGTTTGTTGTTTAACGCCAATCACGGTAATATTCCCGCTATATGACGGCGGTCTGTAAATAATTGAATCTGGACCAGACGATCCAGTCATTTACATCATGAGCATCGATCCACGAAATTGGGATACGATGACATGCATCAACCATGTCAGTGAGTCTGACCACCCGATCCCGTTAGTCGCCACTTATGACAAGCATAGTCGCCTTTTACGGCAAGCATGGGTTGCTATTCTAACCGGGATCTTCACGGGAACCATGCCACGTGACATCTGATATGTACAATGTTATTGATATCTGACACGCAATAGACAACGGACAGTGAGTGTACACATGCATATCAATAATGCAATTAGGGGCACGGGTGGCCCAGGCGCCTAAGGCGCCGCGATTCGCTGTGCAGAGTTGCGTCCCTTTGGGACGCCAGAAACCTAAGGTTGTGGCTTCGAATCCCGGTTCGCCCAGATTATGTTTCTAAGTTTGTCAGCACCATACCCGTGCTCGTGGGTTTCACCGAAGTGGTAAACGTCTGAGACCTGCATCACTTCGGGCTTTCCTCCCACATTAAGCTGAACTGGAATACTGTTAAAAGCGGCGTTAAACCAAACTCACTCACTCACTCACTCTTCGTAATCATAAACTACTAGTATATACATATATGGGCATGTTTCTTAAAAATTGTTTGAATACTTAGTATTGTTTCGTGGCACCGTAGTAACCGGGGAAGAATTGTTAACGCCGTACTGTGTAATTCGATAAAAGATCCCAATTTACATTTGCACATTTGCACCTACTCACGACATGGTGCAAATTTGACCCTGGTGTAAATATACACACATGAGTAAACGCGTTCACATGACAAGTATACTCACGTATGTATATTTACGCACGTATGCAAATATACAAACATATGTATAGAGGTGCACGTGAACGTGTAATATACAACATATTTTTAAACATGTTTTTATATGGTGTTGATATTGAGTTAAGTTTATCAATTAATAATTTCTCTTCTATTCAATAACAATATAATCATTTCTAAGGGATCTGTTGGTTAAAACCGGCGTAAATTCAGTACCCTTTACAGTCTACAATCTGATCTTATGAAAGAAACCACAACTAATAGTTGAGGGTTTAATTCGTCTCATCTTCCCGAGGCAAGAGAGTTAACTGACTTTAAAAGTCCAGTTTTCACCCTTGTCGAACTCGGCTGGAATTACTGGGCTCGACTGTAGCGCTACCAGTGGTTATTACGAGTTATGTCCCTTCTAAGCATCTCCTATGGACCAATCAGGTTCTACCTCTCGTATCACTTGCATTTGTTTCAAACAAAATGGCGGCGCCCAGTCAAGACGATATGATCGATAATCAAGATCTATATTGCGATAAAACGGTTCTTTCATCGCGAAGTGCATCAAATCACGCGAGCACCTTGATTAAAAACATGAAAAGATCTGGAAAATATCTGATGACAACGAGTTAGCGTTGCACATGTTTTGCAAATCCTGCAATCGACCGAAACCTGCACGACAGTTTACGATCCGGATTGCGATTTCGTTGTGCGATTTTGATTGGACTATGCAACTGGACTTTTATAGTCAGTTAACCCACTTGCCTCGGGAAGATGAACTCGGCTTTAAACAGTATTTTATGGTGTCAGCTTGATGTGGGAGGAGAGTACGAATTGATGCAAGTCTCAGACGTTTACCACTGGTGAAACCCACGAGCACGGACACGGTGCTGACAAAGCCAGAAACATTATCTTGAGAAAAGTGAAATTCTAATCACCGATCATAGGTTTCTGGCGTGGCGAAGGGACGCAACTGTGCACAGCGAAATGCGAAGCCTCAGCTGACGGGGCCACGCGTGCCCCTGTTTCATATAGGAGGTATACTGGGTACGGATCGAGGAACCAGAAAATAACCAAAGTCGTAATGGCGTACTTAACATGTAAAATTCTATAGTAAAATCAAAGTTGGGACGGACTCCTAGGTTCGAGGTAGTTCAATGTATTTTTTATCTCTAATTCGAGATAAGCGAGAAAATGTATAAGTATTTATATAATGAGATGGTTAGGACCAGAGAATAGGTTCAAGATATCGGTACATTCGAGGTAACGGGGTCCAGCTGATTTTATACTAGGGCGCACGAGTGGTTCAGTGACAAAATGCGCCGCAAATTCTCTCTGCCGAGTTGCTTTCATTGTTCGAATCATGCGCCCCGATTATAATCCTTGTTCTGGCTGCTCGTTTGTTTCAAACAAAAACGTCTGTTGGTTGCCCCACACATCAGACGCCGTGATACCATTGAAATACTGATCAAAGAAGCGTCAGACCCAACCCATTCACTTCCTGGAATATATCCAAAAGACTAACTATTGCATGTCACGCACTGAGCGGTAGGAGTTGGGCCAGTCCACGAATACTGGCACACATTCAAAGTGAGCTTACATTAAGAATTATTGATTTATTTGTTAACCACAAAACCTACTTATATACTTTCAACCTATAATGGACAGGAGATTAGGGGAGAAGATTGTATTCTTTATTTACAGTGCCTTTTCTGAGCCAGCTTTTGGTTTAATCCGATTTTTGAATTCCAATGCTGTATTACAGCTTTGTTCGTTTTTTAGTCAATGGACTCTGTATCTTCAGGAACAAATGAACATAAAAATGTAATTGATGTGCATTTTCTCAGACTTGCCTCCTCTCTATGCTGTGTGCTAACCTACTTACAGAGACATACAGATAAACGGGGACAGCCATTCAGACACATACAAACAGACACGGATCAAATATATAGATAAACGTTGACACAGAGACACACAGACACACAAACAGCGGCCACAGACATATAAACGAGGACAGCCATTCAGACACATATATACAGACACGGATCAAACATGAAGATAACAAACGTTGACACAGAGACACACAGACATACAGACAGCGGTCACAGACATGTAAACGTGGACAGCCATTCAGACTCATACAAACAGACACGGATCAAACATTAAGGTAACAAACAGTAGGCACATATATAGACATACAAACATACAGACAGCGGTGAAAGGCATATACTGATGAAAAAGAAAAAAAGAACCCCTCGTTGTAGACACAGTAAAATTATATGCTATCATGAGTTCCCAGCCTTGTCTACCAGATATGCGTTGGAAACAATGCACACAAACACATCTCAACATTTGATTCTGATATGTGTTGAATTTGTATGCGCGATATTTCAAATGTAGTAACAGTGAAACTTATTTCCCCATAAAATTCATTGCTCCCTTGTTCGTTTCCACCAGTATAATTATATAACTAGCCATTCAGACACATACATACAGATACCGACCGTACATAAAGATAACAAACGTGAACGCATACATAGACATACAGACATAAACAGGGACATCCATTCAGACACATACATACAGACACGGGCCATATAGAGATTTAACAAACGTGGACGCAGACATTGATATACAGGCAGTTGACACAGACATATTTAAGGAAGACAGACATTTGAGAGATATACATGTACATAAACAGACAGAGAGTACAAACACACATTCAGACACAGACATGGACATGTACTCACTGAGACAGAACGACAGACAGACAGACAGACAGATATGAGCACAGACACGGACGCAGACAACTGGAATACCCAGTCGCGGACACATCCATAGGCACACAATATTCCACAGATTGCTGACAAACTACAGACACGAACCAGAGACTGCAAACACAGATACATCATTAGCATAATGAAACTCTCTCACTTATTATTTACCACCTTCTATATGATGTAAAATATCATTAATTCCATTCAAAAACATTGTCTTCTCAAATGTCACATTTAATCTCAACATAAATATTTCTCATCTGTAATCCATATATTATGTTTGCCGAAGCTCCACGTCACGTTTATTCTGGACGTGACATACATCGACCCACCGGTAGGGATCAAGCGTCACGGTGTAGGGATATTAAAACCGAATACCTCTCGCCTACCAAGCATGATATCTGTATTAGAACTGAGCTCATTGAACGCAGAACAATAAGTGCGTGAGTAGTTCTCAATACAGCGGATTGGATTAATAATGCACCTTGGTTGTGTAACCAGAAGCTAGCTTTATCCCACGAGCTCGTCTGACCTAGCCAGTCCAGTTCTGTGGGTCATGACGGGAGCAGTATGGTGAAATTAAGGAAGGAAGGCACACTATCACACATGACTGTCGAAAACAGAGATATTGATTCGGTAGGTTGTTGTTTTTCTACATATATATATATCAATGGAAAACTACCATAAACAAGAGACTGGCCCGGTCGTCTAAGCCGTCTCAATCCGCTGTGCAGAGTAGCGTCTTTAAGGTCGTTCCTGAAATCTGTGATCGTGGGTTCAAATATTAGATTCGCCCTGATTATGTTTCTAGATTTGCCAGCTCCTTTCCCGCGACCGCACTGCGGATTTCCCATTAAACTTCGAAGACTTCATTTAAAGACTTCATTTTTAGATGTTTAGCTCTCTCTCTCTCTCTCTCTCTCTCTCTCTCTCTCTCTCTCTCTCTCTCTCTCTCCCCCTCTCTCTCTCTCCATCATTTTTAGCGTTCTCTCTCTCTCTCTCTCTCTCTCTCCCCCTCTCTCTCTCCCCCTCTCTCTCTCTCCATCATTTTTAGCGTTCTCTCTCTCTCTCTCTCTCTCTCTCTCTCTCTCTCTCTCTCTCTCCATCATTTGTTTGGTGGTTAACGCCGCACTCAGCAATATTCCAGCTATATGACGGCGGTCTGTAAGTAATCGAGTCTGGACCAGACAGTGCACTGATTGACAATTGGGATACTATGACATGCATCAACCAAGTCAGCGAGCCTGAACACCCGATCCCTTTAGTCGCCCCTAACCCGGATTATCGCGGGTCCCTCCCACATCAAGCTTATAGCTATAATATTCGGCGTAAAACCCTAAAATGAAGCTGTCTATGTTATTTCAATGTTTCGCATATACTGTCGATGTTGTAGAAGGATCATTTCGACGCCATGACCATATATGTCAACTTACTATTTTCTAAATAAATATCGAGATCTTAATGGCCGGATCTCAACCACTCTCGCGCATTATTATACACGGGATAGCTATGGAGTGGAAGGGTACAATTTCACGTTGATCGAGATTCCATCGACACTCCCAGTATGATTCACAACAAAGGTTCACAGTTGGCGCAATTATTTTAAACTGAGTTTAAGTCGTTTTAAATACTAGTAGTTCTGCAGAGTGTCGTACCATTGTTATGTATCCACTAGTCGTGGGTTCGACTCCAAGATTCCCCCTGATCATGATATATCGATCCTTGGTTTGGCAACGTCATATCCTTGCTTGTGGGTTTCACTATAGTGGGGGAACGTGTACAGCGTTTAAAAATTTGTTACACTGGGGTTTCCAAAGCCCACAAAGTCCAAAATGACTGTCAAATCACTGACTCACTTTCCCTTCAAAGACATACTGCAAATACATTAATTTTAATTTAAGTTAATCAAAACAGATGTCTTTGTCAAGTTCTGTTCGAATCCCTAATAGCCAATACTGTGAAATGTAAATATCTAAATATACCTTGACAGACATTCTTCGGTAATTTCCATAATAATTTAGGGATGTTATAACCTTCCCTGTGTGTGAATGTTTGACCTTCATGTATGACCTTACTTGTTGTGTGTCACTGGTTTACCGAGGCCAGACTATTATTTACACTCCGTCGTGAAATTCCGTTGGGAAATAATTGACAACATCATGTATTCATATCGGGTACACACAAAAAGGGGTGTAAAACCCAACTCACTCACTCGCCTTCATCTTTGTTGTTTGTATCCACAGCATGTATTTCGTCATGATACTTTTATATGTGCATTTCCGGTACAACGTAGGGACGCCGGATGAGCTGCTGTATATGACATGGTAGAAATCATTTACAATATTTTGTTTCAGCCATCGATCACATGGAAGGACTACGTCGATGTGTTCATAAATGGCGGATTTGCCTCAAAGATCTCAATTCACAACATCGTCGACGGGAAAGTATGGGCAGCGTCACCTAACGCCGCCTTCCACCCTGTAGAGGTCAAGGACATTATTGACGGCTTCGATGACCCGTCGAAGCTTCGATTACAAGGGATAGGCTTGGGGGGTAGGGTGTTCACCCTCACTAGGGTGACCGGACCCAGTATCATGGTGGGGCGGGACGCCCGCACCGCTGCCGGATGTGTGATATTCAAGGCTAACACGTGCGTGTTGATCGCTTTATACGAAGAGGGCACTCACCCCGGGAGCTGCTACAGCACCATGGTCAAAGTTGGGGATTATCTTCTTGATAGAGGCTTCTGACTTTGAGTAGCATTAGGATTTTCTTTGCTCTATCCAACAAAGATTATTTGACTCTATTCGCTTCTTGATCCTACCGGATAAGGAACATGTAGAGATTACTACACCAGTAGCTGTCAGATACCATTTACCTTACAACGACTTGTTTCAGAACGTATCTAAGGAGCAAAAGGAGAGTAACCTTCATAAACCGTTCTTAGCTCATCGCCATGGAGTAGCTAGTAACGGACCTGGAATTCGGCCTGACACATATGTTTGATAAGTGTTATCTCAAATAGGTTTCAACCCGTGAATATCCGGGGTAGAATAGGTCTTCAGCGACCCATGCTTGTAATAAGAGGCGACTAACGGGATAGGTAGTCAGGTTCGCTGACTTGGTTGATGCATGTCATCAATCACAATTGCGTGGATCGATGCTCATGGTGTCAATCACTGGATTGTCTGGTTCAGACTCGATTATTCACAAACCGCCGTCATATAGCTGGACTATTGCTTAGTGTTGCGTTAAACAACAAACCAACCAACCAAATAGGTTTCTCACCAACATGTGTGTGAGATAAGAATGTTGACAAAGTTGTTGTGTAGTGAATATGGAATTGTACCGTGGCATCACGGCTTTGACGATGGTCCCTGGATGGTAGGGTTAAGTTGAAGCCATTCTGGACTTGTTTCAAATACAGTGGATTCTCTGTACAACATTCCCCGTTTTCTTGACAAGATGAAAAGAAGAAAAAATGAACAAAGACGCGTCCATATTGACATATAATTTTGATTTAAAGGTTTGCCATGCTGACCAAAGGTGACACTGGAACAATACGAACTGTGACGCATTTAACCGAAGCAGAGGCAGGATATGAATTACCTCCCTTGAAGTATAGGCGTGGATTATTATATTTCTTCAAACATTCAGATGACGAACCTACAGCCGTGGTGTAAAATACCCATGAAGTCTGGTCTAATGCTTAGTTCCGTTACCCTGAGGTTTCACACACACACACACACACACACACACACACACACACACACACACACACACACACACACACACACACACACACACACACACACACACACACTGCTGAATATATACTGAGGGGCAAACGAAAGTATACCGAGTTTGTAACTGAAAGAACTATTGTTAAATTTGATTATGTCTATTTAACCATCACTCTTTCCTACAATAGTTTATAAAAAGTAATCTGTGGCTGGGTAACTTAAGATATTTATTGATAAAATCACCTGAGAGGTATAGTTTCTTTTGCTCCTCGGTATAGAAAGCGACCACAGCGAAGACAAACATGTCACCCTGGACAGGAATCTACCTGTTTCTTAAATGTTTAATAAACATGTAATTAAAAATTCAAGGTATATGTCATTTCTCCTCGCGTGTGTGTTTCCGAAGCATAAAAAGAACATTTCTTGTTATGTTTCTCTTAGGCCTCCGTTTGTTTGATTGCTGAACTAATTGCAGACAAAGTGACCTTTTGTTATCATCATGCAGTGGTTGTAAAACTGTAATGTTAAACCTGTGATTGTGGGTTCGAATCCCGGTTCGCCCCGATTATGTTTCTAGGTTTGTCAGCACTTTAACCGTGCTCGTGGGTTTCACCAAATGGTAAAGATCTGATACCTGCATCACATCGGGCTTTCATCCCACATTAAGCTGACACGCCGTCAGAATACTGTTAAAAGCGGCGTTAAACCAGCTTCGGACTGTCCCTTAGTGTGTTCCTAATAAATTCCTCATTCGGAACATACTGCGCCTACAACCCTGCCATACTGTACATGTATCGTAATCTCACGAAAACTGCAACACGATTCACTTCCTAAAACACTTGCCTTCAATTATGTGTAGTTATTTTCTGTCGTACAACTTTCTATGTACTTACTGGTTTGGCGTTATCGGGAGTGTACGAATGTTTGGCCGCCATTGCTAAGTGAATAAAAAAAAATTTACCGGACAGGTTTCCAACTTGATAAGTAAATATATTGTTGCACGATATTGTTCTACAGTTACTCATGTTTAAAGACAAGGGAAGTGAATCATGTTTCATTTGTCGATAGATCACGACGTTTGCACTTGGACAGTCCTTAGCTCTGTGTAGCGACAAGTTATTATCACAATCTCTTATAGGGGCAGCACAGAGATTGACGAAGATTGACCTGGTGTTATGTAAAATTGGCCTTTATCAATTATAACATGTGTCAAAAACTTGGATTGTCATTGGCGAAGTATATACAGTATCAAAATAGGGTAAAGTGAGTTGTTATACAACAATGAAATGAATAAAAGCGACAAAACCATTTCCTTAACCATTGTTCATTGTTCGATTCCGACTATATCATGAGCATGTGTTCATGAAATCACTTTCAAATAGTGATGATACTAGGTGTTAAAGGGGAGCGTAACCTGTCCCAACGGCGGTTTCAGTCACTTACACGGGTAAAAGGCAAGTCAACTGTTAACCTAAAAACAAACCATCTTTCAAATAGTGATGATACCAGGTGTTAAAGGGGAGCGTAACCTGTCCCAACGGTGCTTTCCGTCACTAACACGGGTAAAAGGCAAGTCAACTGTTAACCTAAAAACAAACCATGTCAACATATGATACAATGTAAACTAGGGGACAGGTTGGATTATTTCAATTCTATTTCCTGTTTTTCAGTTTGTGCGTTCCACATCACGCAGTGACTGCGACAGGTTCATCCATCTTGCCTTTTTCCCATTTCCCCCCTTCCACCGATTTACCCCCCTGAACTAGAAATAGAAGACACCAGTGAAACCGCCTCATTTGTTTCATATTTAGATCTATGCATAAAGTGACGAAGACTGTTTGACAAGAGGGATGACTTCATTTTTTTCATAGTCAACTTTCCCTTTGTCGAGCATTATTCCAACAACTCCATATTTTGGTGTCTACATTTCACAACGTTTGAGTTACAATCGAATGTGCTTTTACACTGTAAAATGTGTTTAGAATGTAAACAGGTATATACGACAAGTTAAACATCTAAATATTTCATGTATTTAAATCCTAAACGGAATACACATTTAGTGTGGTCTATCTAAACACGTTTAGGATTTAAACTCATGAAATGAGCTACCGTCTCAAAGCCTAAACACAACACCCCCATAATCTAAACATGTTTACAACAAAAAGCATACGATTCGGTATTATCCTAATGATCTAAACATGTTTAAAGTGCACATCGTTGGGCATTATGTCAAATATGGATAAGATGTAAAATATGTATTGAAATAAGATATGAAACTAAGATTCATAGGCATTTGCATCATGCAAAAATCACAAGTGACACAACACCCTACACAAGACTGCATGACAAGAGTGATGACTTCAACTTTCCAGCAGTCAACTTTCCCTTTATATCGAGCAATATTCCTGCAGCTCCAGCTATTGGTCTCTACATTTCACAACTTTTGAAGTACAATCGAGCATGCTTTTTTTCTTCCAAGATTTCAAAGAGCATCAAACGACTCTTGCTCAGAAGTTGTTTGATCAAGCTTACAACATTCAAGGCCTCAGTAAAGCTTTCAAAAAGTTGTATGGTAGATATGTAGAGAACATTTCCAAACTTGTCGCATCAGTGACACGAATGATGTCCGATGCAATTCCCTATTTTAACTTGTACCATATGTTCCCGTGTTTTTTCAGATGTTCAATTGACTTTACATATGTTTGTGACGGGTGCCACCGTTGGGGCAGGATACGCTCACCTTTTCGCGAAAAGCTTGTATCATCACTATTTGATAGTGATTCATAAACATATCCTCATGATATAGACGAAATTGCTTTTAGCAGTGATTTCTTATGAATATGGAAAGGGTTTTGTCGCTTTTACTTACAACAAACTTGGAACAAAGTTAATATAAAAATGTACAAACAAACCAAGCTAAGTTAATGGCGACCAGGAAACTTTACATTGGTGACGACAACCATCAACGCAGCACAGGGATAGCACGAAGGACTACAATCAAGAGGTTTCAGGTTCTTATACCCCGCGGTTTTAACATTGTTGTGTGCGAAATATTGGTGAACATATATGCATGCATCATTGGAAATCACTGATGACACCAGGTGTCCGTGGTAAACATGTCCTGCCATACCGGTTACACCCACCACTCACACAATTTGCATGAAGAAGTACGTGTTTGTTTGTTGCCCGACCAGGATCACTTCCTTCCCACATTATGATGACACGCCGTGTCATAACTGAAATTCGGTTCAAGGCGGGTTTAAACTCATCTGACTCGCTGTATTTACAAGTTAGGATACTCTGTGTTTTGTGTTTGGCTACTGTTAATCAGAAAACTAGCTGTTCTAGCTGGGTACTGTTAGGATTGTCTACATAAAGTAAGAGGACATCAACTGGGCACGATGGCGTCCAATTGGGTTTCACTGAACACAGACTCCTTGAAATAGAATGTGGTGGATGTAACATAGTAACAGCGCCTATTTTTGTTATTTTGACACTCCGTTTGCTAATTATATCCCCTGTGTCAAACGGTTCAAGAGGACCTAACATTCTGAATCAGTTAATTCAATTGCAGCCCGTGTTTTACTAGCACTGTAAAATGTATATGTTAGGTTGGTGGACTAACATAATTGTGTGTTGTGGCCATTACCCTTGAGAAAGCCTAATAGAAGTGATAAGGATAAAAAGGGTACAGGTCAATGTTTTATTTTCAAATAATGCAATATATTGAACATAAAGATTATTCAATAAGAACTGTACATTATACACAATGAAATAAATAAATTATTAACATATTACAATAATCTCAAGATCATTTTCGGACATGCCAGATGTTCAGATGCTTCTGGCTCGGTAACGACGGCGCTGTCTAAGTGACTTCTTCATCACGAACTCCTGCAACAAATGACAAATGAATAGGGCTTAGTTCTATGCTTACAGTGTCCACATTGAATAACTCAGGGACCAACTCACTGCTTCATCACTGACCAGTAGACATGTTTTACAAGTACGCCAAAGGGACACAACTCTGCACTGCGAATTGCTGCTTGGCACACAACTTGGCCACAGGTATTTAGCTTTGTTTATTTGTTTGTTGTTTAACGACGCGATCAGCAATATGCTAGTTATATGATGGTAGTCTGTAAATAATCGTGTCTGGGCCAGACAATCCAGTGATTGACATCATGAGCATCAATCCACGTAATTGGAATACGATGATACGCACAGCCAAGTCACCGGGCCTGACCAACCGATCCGTTAGTCGCCCCTTACGACAAGTATAGTCTTCACTTGAATTGATGACAAGTATAGTCGCCTTTTACGGCAAGCATGTGCTGCTGAAGACTTATTCTAACCCGGATCTACACGGGTGAGTGTTTTAGCCACAGATGTGATATGTAATATATTTTACTTTTAACCCATGTTCGGTTGCAGTAAGAATTTATTACTATTTTAAACATTATAGGCCACGAACTGTTTAATTCTACTTACATTGAGCTCTTCAGTGAACTGGTCATCGCTTGGTTTGGTTTGATTTGCAGATCTCCATTTGATGTTGGGCATATACTGAAACACGGTGAAAAATGGGTAGTTTTGTGTTGAGTGTGTTAATTGTGTTATTTCAAGTTGTTTGGTTATTTTTCTCTACCAGTGAACGATGGCGTACAGGAAGTAAATACCTTGTCGTAGTATTGCTTGATGGTTTCTCTGTCCGGGGTGTATCGGTCTACAGCATTCTTGACCCTGTCAACATAGGAATCCACCTCGGGAAGGGAGTCCAGAGACTTGAGTGGGATGGGCAGGTACACATCCATCTGGATTTCACCATGCTCAGGGTCCCACACAGTGACCTTGGATTTCTCCAGAAAGTTCAGGTACTGTCGGTATTTCTGGATCTCCTCCTCAACCATCTCCTTGATGATCTCATAGATGCTGCTGAGGTGCTTTTGTAGATTTTCCTCCACCTGCCAGTAGTTGTATGCCCACACACCCTGAAAGAAGAATACGTATCGTTTGCATCCTTTTATCTTTATCGAACATTTATGTTTATGCTAACTTATATTCTTTGTGGTATTACTGTGTGCTTCAGTAGCATTGGAACCTACACATATCACCCAGTGAAGTTTAACAACTTGAGTTGATGATGTCCATTTTTCATATTTCAAGTTACCTCTTGGTAAACGTTGTTGGCGACAGATCTCATGTGTTTGACATCTTCATGTTCCAGGACATTGGCGAGATTGCTGTTGATCATCTCACGGGCATTGTAGATAACAGAGTTGTATTTCTCGGGGATGTTCCAGCTATTTACTCTCTCCTGGACCATTGTGATGTACCTTTGGTAGTCAATGTCAGACATTCTGGCTTTCAGGGCAATAAGTCTCGGGTGGTTCTTGATTCTGTTTATGGATTCTGCAAACACATAGCCCGGAATACTCATGTATGATATTGGTATAGAGAACGACATTTTACTTTCTTCACCATCACAACTACAAATATAGATACAATTGTGTTGTATAGATCTGTCGAGATCCGTAGTATCTGATACAATAGACTTGTACCTGAAACTCCATCCTGGATTCTTTGAGATTGGAATTGGTATTGATCCTTGAGGGCTTTCAGTTGGTCATCAATCTTGCCAATAATATCAACAGCGGATGTCACACCATAATCGATGACAGTCTAAAATAAAAAGAAACTTTCATTGAACAAGTTGTGTATGTAAGGAATTTATAGACGCCTTACAATAAATGATTAGATTCAATGGTTGGGATGCTAATGTGATCTAAAGTGTTACTTTGCAACACTGTATTTCGATGTCATTTCCCAGTGAATGAGAATCAAGGCATTTTACCTTTAGCGTAGAAAGGGACTGGGATACCATCTCTTGGTACTCTCTGTTGATTGGGTAGTTCTTCACTTCCTCCAGGTAATAGGTCATTGCCTCGCTGATCTTGGCAAACCTGGCTTTTGTAGCCGTGACAAAATCCTTGTAGCTCTCACTGTTAATATAACATAAAAAGAACATGAAAATATAGAAAGCAATGTAAGCAATGTAAACGTTCCTTCAAAACTAGTCCCAATTCTGCAAAAATAGTAAGACAAAGCAATTACTTACAATGTGGATAGGAATGTTTCTCCCAGGTCTGCAATATAGAGGTCGTTTCGGCTATACATGCGCCTGATGTCACGTCTGATGTCATCTAGCTGAGCCTCAATGCTTGCCATCTCACTTTCAACGAGCGTTACGAAAGGGGCAATGTCCTCACTGAAAGCTGTAGCAATTCGTTGGTATTTCCCAGTGATTTCTCGTCCAACAGATTCATAGATGTCATGGAATTCACTCTTTGCCTTCTGACCAAACCTCCGGACCTTGTAAGTCAAGTACTCCTGCGTTTCCTGAACAACTTCTGGTCTCCAAGAGATCCTGGTGTGGAGGATTCTTGATGTGTTAAGACGAACGAAAACAAGACTGTCGGTGAGTCGTCCGCTGTTGGTTGTACTATACAGTTCAGCTTTCACTGCAGTTGAGTTGATGTAGTTGGCATGCAAGTTGATAGTGTTACTTGGGTTATCTGAAAATCACAGTTCCATAATGAATAATAAATAATAAAAGTGAGTAAGTTAAACTATACGCATATTGTGACATGAATCGCAAGACTTTTTACAACAAAGTTTATATTTCAGCGATGTGATACAACAACCAGTTTCAGTTTGTTTAGTTACCAAGGTCATAGTTCGTCTGGAAGTCAACAAATCTCCTCTCCTTGTCAAAAGTCATCACACATTTGAGGGTGCGGTCATCACCATAATTGTTACTGATTCTGAGATGATAGGGGTTGGTGGTGTCAACCTCTCCTGACAGAGTCATCGTCGTCAGAGGAGACATCATCTGTGCACAAAAACAATACACATCTACAACTGTTTCCTTTTCATTGCCATAATCGCATCTACTTTTAATATTTTTGATCCACAAAATACATGATAATGTTAAAGGAAGTGATGAAATCTTTCTGGCCAGCCTGTTTTCCATCACAAGCTTATGAAACTTACAATGCCATTTAGTAGAGGCCAGCATGTCTACGTGTGTGATTTTGATGTTGTCCAAACCGTTATGTCATAAAACAGAGAGAGAAAAGTTGAATTGTTTCCAAAATTGGAATTAATTAATTTCTATGCAAAGTGTATTGTATCCGTACCTGAAGATCAAGTTGCTTTCTGATCCGGTTGATTTCACCACGCAGAGCAAAGTTCTTACGCTCACGTCTGGCAGTCAGGTACTTGGCATTCATACCACTAGTGTACTTCTCTCTGGACATTCCAATATTGGATGTCAGACTCACATCAACATCAGTGTAGGGGTGTGAAATCGCCACTGTCATGCTGTAGTTCTTATTGGAATAGCCATATGAAATGTCCTCAACTTTGGAGCTGAGGGTGAGAGTCTTTCTGGAGTCTGAAGAGTAAGAGAGTTCTGTCTTGCCATCAAAGAGGGTTCGTCCATCATTCAATGTCAACTCAGTGTCAACCTTGATGTCCTGTAAAAACAAGTCAGTTGCATGTTGACATAAGTTACGTTAATTAATTTCTTATATCAAGACATGCAGCAATGCAAACGAACAGTACTGAAATTCAAATTCAATGTTGACAAGTGAGTGAGTGAACATTGCTTAACGCCGCATCAGCAATTTTGCAGCTATTCTAGGATATCATTGTTGACAAGACTGAAAGGAATAAAAATCATCTTTACCCACCTTTCCAATGGAAGGCAGTCTCAGGCTAAGCTCGGCTCTCTTTTGGACGTCAGATGGAGAAAGAACAGCTTTAATACCAACTTGTTTCGTCTGATCACGGACAGCATCCCAGAAGAAGGTGCCATCCACTATCTTTCTTCCTTGGGCATTGCTGAATGAACCATCCATTTGGAATCCCCGCACAGGAGTTCCCAGGCGTAGGGATCCATCGTACATTGTGCTGTATCTGCGACTCTTATCAGTCAGGTCCAGATCATAGGAGAACATCTGTCCGGCATCTTCATTCCAAATAAGTTGGCCCACACTCTTGGTCTGACTTCCACTCTTGGCAATTGTACCAGTGACACCGAGTGTTCTAGCAGGGTGGATTAATTTGATTGTCATAGCCTTATCAATGGTGTTTCTTCCACTTTGGTCATTGAGGGAAGTTTGGAACCTGACATTGCTCTCTGGTTCATCTCTATCCCAGTTGACAAACAGATCAGTGTCGATGCTGTTGTCTGCAAACTCACCAGACACAGTGTACTGCATTGCTCTTGGCTTCCTGAATGTAATAATGCTTTCGTGCTTGTTTGCCTTGTGGTACTCCATGTCTACATCCAGGACAGTCTCTCCGTTATAGTCAGCTTCAATCGTCTGAGTTGACCTTTCATCCCCTCGGCTGTGTTGGATTTTCAGTGCTGCTTGTCTCAAAGGTTTAAAGGGCGTAGACAAAGAAGCATCTGCAGATAACTGTTTCTCCGCAAAGTTGCTTGAGTATACGTAGGATCCATCCAGAGTTATCTGCTTCCTTGGCGCCCAGGCAGCTACAATGTGGGATCTTTGTCTGCTTCTTCTCAGCGTGTTTTCTACAGAGAGTTTAAGGTTGTCTGTGAGAGAAACTAAAGCATCCATTTCAAATGGAGATGTGTAGTGAAGAGCAGCTTCTCCAGAGACAGTACTAATGAGTGGAGATTTCATGTCCAATGTGGACCTGAAGTTCTTCCATTCTCCGTTATGGCTGATTGAAATTTCATTGTTGTCAAAGTTTTCTAGAGGGGTTTTAAGTGTAGCTGTGGCTGTCATTGGTGATGTTGAGAGGTCAACTGTAGAGTCCAAAGAGAATGTATTCCTTCTTCCTGTACTTAGCTTACTGACCAAGACATACCTGTCCATGGACTTTCCCATACTCATTTCTGCACTCATCTTTCTTTGCGACCCATACTGAACGTCAGCATTGCACTTTAGAGAGTTGCTATCTCCTCTATGCCTGTATTCGACCTTTGTAAACTCATAACTGCTAAATGGAGTTTTCACTTCAATACTTGACTGGATACGTCTCAACCTATTGTTCATGTGGTTGATTTTTCCAGATAGTTCTTTACCATCCATGTACCTAATAGTTCCTTCCGATGAAAAGCTATTCAGGACACCAGAGTGATCAAACTTGAGTGCAAGATCTGTGAAATCTTCAAAAGGAGTAACAACGCTGACTTCTCCGTGAATGTTGTCATCAGATCTGAGAGCTGCTTTAATGTTAATGTTTTTGTCACCGCAGTTTGCTGTGAGGAAGGCTGTGAGGTCCTCAAGTCGCCCATGCTTCCCAAGTTTGATGGCATAGTTGTTTCCACTTCCGGCCATAGTATACGCAACATTACTTTCCATGTTGATGGCAAGATCTTCCATGTTGAACACCACATTACCTGTGAGTGTTGCATCTCGACCCATGTTGGCAGACACCTGGCTTTTAAAGTTGGAAAGGATGCCATTATGATCAATGTTGAATGTTATTTCCTGTATGTATGGGTCTCTTAGTACAAAGGCAGTAACAAGACGTCTTCCTGTGAAACGGTTGTTCAGAGATACCTCAGAGACAGCATCACGAAGAGAAATCTGTGCACCTGTCCTAAGATTCCTCAAAGTGCCTTCCCTGTTTGCTTTTATCTTAAGACTCTCATAGCCTTCCATGTTTGTGAGGATGACAAGATCTAACTTGCTTGACTCTCCATGCATAACACTAGAATCAGCAGTCATGGTCTTTCCAGCCATCTCAAACTCTGCGTGGCTTTTACAGTTACCAAGAGGACCTTCATGGGAGATAATCAGTTTGGAGACCTCAAAGGATTGAAATGGTGTTCTGACTTCAGCTGACACATCTATCTTAGGAGATTTCATTGCAGAAACTTCAGCTGTAATTTTCTTGCCTGTACCATATTGAACTTCAGCATTAGCTGATATGTTTTCATCATTCATTGTGTGATGGTAAGTAGCTGATTTGGAACCAGTAAATGGTGTTCTGATCTCTGCTTTAGTATCAATCCTTCTTATGCCATTATGAGAGAATGCAACAGTGCCTTCAGCAGTTTGTCCATCCATGTACCTGATGACACCCTCGCTATTGAATCTGTTCATATTCCCTGAATGTTTCACGGTCATACCAATGTCTCTGAATGGCTCAAAGGGTGTTTGGATCGTAAGACTTCCATCTATATCTGTGATCATCTTTAGTGCTCCTCTGATTTCAATACGCTTGCCATTGTATTCTCCAGTCAGGTAGCTGTTCATGTTGTTTACTTGTCCTTCTTTGTGGAATGTTATTCCGATGTTCCTGCTACCTTGATCACATTTTAATCGAAGGTTTGTATTAAAATCGATGGTTGGTTTCCTCAGGGTAAATCCTGTTTGAGATGACAGAGAATATGTACTACCAACAGACCCTTCTAACTTATTTGTAAAGCTGGTGAGTTGCCCATTGTGATCAACTGACATGTGGATGTCATCGGTGAAAGGTGCTTTGATCAGTAGCACAGAATCAAGTGATGAAGATGTCAATCTGTTGGTGAAAGTGGCTTCAATTTCCTGTGCATCAGCATATGTCAGGGTGAGACCTGATTGCAGGCTCCTAATTCCCCCTCTCCTGTAGACCGATGCTTTGGTTTCCCCAAAGTTGGTAAATGGTGTCTTCAGTGAGAAGGAACCCTTTGTCCTGTCTCCATGTTTAAATTTAATGTCCATTTCACATGTCTTATCGCTGTTAAATTGAAGCTCTGCATGACTCTTGAAATCAGTTGGTTCACCTTCATGACGAATGGAGGCTGAAAGTGTCTTTAAACTTCTGAAGGGCGTTGCAATCATAACTGATCCATCAATATCATTGTTCCATGACAGTTTTAGAAGTCCTGTTATTGGTCTATAGGGTGCATATGTCACATCAAATTCAGACTCGATACCTCGACGGCGAAGGGCATGATTAAAAGTTACAGAAACATGCTCAATGTTTTCAAATGGTGTGCCGAGCATTACATTCAGATGAATATTTTCTAGTGAATTCAGTTTATATGTGACATCAAGGAACAATTTCTCCTTTGGGTGGTACTCAACCTCAATACGAGAGTGCCTCTTGCCATTGTTCTGTTTCTGGCTCGAGAGGATCATCTGCATATATCGAAGTGTTTCAAGGGGAGTATCGATTCTAAGCTTTCCTGAAACATCTGAATTGGCATAGTTCCAGTTCATAACTGCAGTATACTTCCCAGTGGTTGGCTGAAGCTCAAAATCCGCTCTGCTGTCAAAGGTCATAAGTCCACCACTGAACTCGATTCCTGCATCCAGCACACTCAGATCATCAAAAGGTGTCTTGAGGGTTACTCTTGCCTTCTTAACCAATCCAGTGTTGATGTGAGATTCCAGTTCAATGGATTTTCTGGGAGCATAATCTAAGCGTGCATCTGACAGCCATTCACTATTTTCATATTTGTGAGAAGACTTGAGCAGAATGTTTCTGAAGTTCCTGTATGGAGTGGTAATTCGAAGCTCACCATCAAGATTTTCAATTGATGCAAGATCAATAGCCCCATCTGCTGAAATCATTTTGCGTGGCGCCCATTCAAATTCTAAGTGGCTAGACATCGGGTAAGAGTTGTATCTTGAGTTGAGTTTTCCTTTCAGGTCTTGTGTGACTGGTGTAGTAATGATAAAGTCAAATTCTGCCAATTCAGTTGATCGCCTGTAGTTGATCTCACTTGATGCAAGGGTGGATTTGTCCTTCTTGAAATGAGAAATGCTACGGATATATCCTCTGCCAAAGGCATTGTTCAAAGAGATGTCAATATCCTTCACAGGTTCCCATGGTGTTTGAAGAATGATGCCTCCTGTTGTAGTGTATCTTGCAGAAGAGTCATGATTTCCAGACAGATCGAAATGAACTTTTCGCTCTCTTCCCCACTCAGATGTCAAAGTGGTCTTTAACTCCCTTCCTGTGTTTCTGTGAGTCCACGTGTTCGTCATTCTTATCTTTGGTGCCATAAGGGTTAATTCTCCAGCATTTTGGTACTGCCAGCCAGTCAGAGCATGTGTCATACCAAGGTTATATTGATAGCGATCACCATTTACATCAGCTGTTACTTCTGTCACAAATTTCCTGTTATCATCTTTGTGTTCCATTTGTAGGGCGATAGACTTCATTTTGGGAATGTTGGACCTCAGAACAAAACTGCCTGCAACATCACGATCATATAAGTCTCCTTTGTTTTGAGCAGAGATGGTGAATTCAGCATTTCTTCCTTCAAAGGCCCCTTTGATGTTGGTATTCAATCTTTGGTCAGAGATAGAATGTTCCAGTTCAGCATTCATTCGTCTGTATCCTTTGAAGGGTGAGCTAGCTGTTATTCTTAGATCAATGCCCTTGGGGGAGTATGGCTTCTTCAAAACAATGGCACCATTGATTGCATTTCCTTGAGAACCCCAAATCAGTTTGGCTGTTGAAGTGTACTTTTGGGGACGATTATCAGTACTCATTTCAGCTGACATTTCTTCGAACTTCCTGAAAGGTGTTTGCAATTTGATAGAACCTTGAATGTTCCGACTGTTGTATGACCCTTGGTTGCTGTACGTAGTATCAAGAGAGATCTGTTTCTTAGATGACCAGGATAAGTCAGCATGGGAAGTCAAGGTATTTCCACCCTGGTGTTTAACATTCAGTTTCAGGACTCTTGACGGATATTTCAGTGATAGAGATGAATCAATATCGTTGACTGATTTGTAGTCAATGCTTCCTTGTGCATTTACTTTCTTCTGAGTGTCATTGCCAGCATTCCATTTCGCATCAACAGATCCAGCATAGATAGTTCCCTTTTTGCCACCCTCTACTTCAACTATGATGTGGCGGGCTGGGTAGGTAAGATCCAGTGACCATTTTCCTTTTGGATCCTTGGTATATTTGTAGGCTGTAGCAACACCATAGGACTTCTTGGCATGATCCACCTTTCCTGAAACCCTAAAGTCTTTGAGGTCCAGATCTATCTCACCCATAACCCTTGTTGGATTCATGGAATGAAGATTAATCTGTGAATCCACACTGTGGATGGTTCCCTTTTGTTTACTGTAAGTTGTGACAACCGTCGACTTGGCTTTGTCCAGTTTGAGAGTGATTTGATGTGTAAAATCTCTTTTCTTCTGTGTGAGATCAGTCTTCAAGTTGATATCTTTGAATGGGGAGTCCAAATTGAAGATACCAGACATTTTCATGGCCTTCTTGCTGCTGTCCTTTAAGTTAAGGAAGGCTTTTATTGCCTTACCTTTAGCATAGTCTAGTTGCACGTTTGACACAAGGGTGTTCTTATCATGCTTGTGTTTTCCCTTCAGTCGGATGTCAACTTCCTGAAACGAATAAATAGTCAATGTATAGCATGATTGTTTTGAAATGCTTAGATAACTCACTTAAAATAACATACACTGAATTCCTATTCTAGATACTGTCTTAAATTATACAGGGTTCAAATTGCTTCAGTACAGGTTAGCACAACTTACTTGACCAGTTATCATTTCCAGACATGGATATGTAAAACTCCACACAGGTTTTTCATTCATGGTTATTATAGAGTCACATATATGGTCAGAAAACACTTTAAACAAAATGTTGAAATATTTAATGTTTATTAAATATACTTTTTTGGGATCTTTTATTAGTGCTTTAGAAGGTTGGTTCGGATTGGAGAAATATTTTCCCATTGAAATACATTTTCAAGTATAGTAGTAGTGTTTGGTGCTTGCTATAATTCCTTAAGGATGTGTTTAGTTTGCATCAAAGTAATCATGTGAAAATGCTTAGGTTTTGCCTTTTACGCCAAATGGAATCTGTTTAGAACTCGATTATCTTCAGCACTATCTATCTTTGACATACCTTTGGTGGGAATTTAGCTTGCATGTCATATTTAACGTTTGCTGATTTGGCTCCCACTTCGTGGTTGATATCAACAGTAGTAGACATTGTTTTAGTTGGATCCTTGTTTCCATACTTCAGCTGCATGCTACCTCCAGTCTGTTTTTTGTTGTGGGTGAAGTCCAGATCTGTTTGGAAGTTCCAGTCCTGGTTTTGCTTCAACACGAAGTTTCTGAAGAGGCAGAATGTACACTTTAGATTTTGTGAAAAAATGGCCAACCCATTCCATAATCAAACGAAATAAGAATCAATTGTACATTGTCAATTGCATGTGTTTATGAATCACTATCATACAGTGATGATGCCAAGTGTTCGCGGGAAGGAGAGGGTATCCTGCCCCACCTCATAAACACATGCCAAGGCAAATTTGGAAATGTTCCCCATATGTCTACCATAAAACATTTTGAAAGCTTTACAAAGGCATTGATTGTTATTACCCTGATCTAACAACCTTTGAATAAGAAATCTTTGAAATATCTGTTGGAATATTGCACGACATAAAGATTAAGTTGGCTATTGGAGTGTTGAAATCACCCTCCTTGTCATACGGTCTTGTGGATAGCTTTTTTCTACAAAGGTGACTCTGACCAGATGTTACTACTTTTATTTCTCATTCAGATAGTTACATCATTTGAAGGGAATTTGCTATTTGATAAATAGTAAACGATATTATATTAGCTGAAACTAAAGTTACACTTACAAGCCAGATTTCCTCGCTTTCATTTAGCCCATTCGACCTATTTTTTTATTCATATGCATAATAAAACAGATCAGCAAAAACGGGAGCACAATTGGTGCCTACCTTTTCCCCTAAATGTCTTATCTGCAAATGTCACATAGATGGTAGTTTTGTAAATTGATATCAATGAATGAATGTGGATTTGTACTTACGCATTCAGGTTATATTTCAACGTTGACTTTGTACTTCTGTTGGTAAATTTGGAACTGATATCAAACTTATTTGGTTTGATGAACTTCAAGGCAGGAACACTGTAGTCGACGGTAAGTTTGGAGGACACAATATTCTTCTTCTTCAGATCAACGCCACCCTCAAGTCTGACATTGACGAACCTGGATCTCACTCTAACTGAACCTTTGTATTCGACATTTTTTCGACTGTTGACTCCGAGTTTCCCTATGAAATAAAATAGAACATGCAGTTAGACGTTGACATTGGTTATATACATTTTATAATCATAGTAATTACAAAGATTACGAATCGATTACTAAGGAAAACATGTCTCTGGAATGACGCCGATAAATCAACTTACATGAGGCTGTGAGTGGCTTAGGAAGGACCTTATAGATGGAGAGGGACATGTCACCATCGATCAGTTTCTGAGGCTTGTAAAGGGAGTTTCCATTGAGGTTGATCAGTTCATACTCAGGCATTGAGACAACAAATCTTGGTATGATTTTGATGATGGGGTTATTCTTGCCAGTGTTCCTGTTGATGAGGCTGGCATCAAGACTGTAGCCATCTTTCTTGCCCAAATTGAGTACAACTGTCATGCTTCTTTCATTCTTGGTGCTCTGGAGGTTAGCTGTAGGAACGAAATCATAAACCACAAGTTAATTTGTAACATTCATAAGGAAGTAAGGCAGCTCAGAAATGACGTGCTGTGAAAAATGAAATGATAAATTTTTCGATAAACTTACATTTGAGCATGACTGGCTTGGCAGTGATTCCTTCAAGAGACAGGTCAGTGGTTGCTTTCCTAGATCCCTGAGTGTTTACAGAGCCAGACAGAAGAATAACTCTGGCCCCTGGTTGTCTGATCTCAAAGCGTGGTTTGTATGTCACAGCATCCTTTCCTTTGACTATCTTCACTTGTCCCACTAAGCCATACTCATCTTTGTCATCCAACAAAAGGTTACCACCAACTCCAAGCAGCTTTTGGTCAGTGTCCAAATTGCCTGAAAGTAGATACACAATGTCTTAGTTAAAAAACGGTCATTGAGACGGACATATGGGCGATGGGGACATATTATTGAATTATATATGTTTTGATTCTCAATAACCGATGGTAGGGTGGACGAATGACATTGCCTAATGGTGACATAAAAACACACTACAGTACTTTACAAATGTACTTTTCCATTGTATTTGTAAGGTATTTGTGTACCTCTTACTGTTGCCTTTTTCCAGGGTGAAACTACTTCCAGTTCCAACTCCTTATTCTTGTAGTTGACAGTAACATCCATGGATAGGGCTCTGTTTACTCTAGATCCAGGAGTGTCAAAAGTAAGTTGAGCTGTGCTGGAGACCTTGTTCTGAAGAAACCAGGTTAGATATGTATATGTAATAGGGAAATGAAATAAAGTTTAATCAATAGCTCATAATGTATCCACATGATGGAAATAGAAACATTCCTGAAACTTTAAGCAGAAAAGATTTATTTGTCCAATAGTCTGACAAATATGTGGTCAATGTTAGTTTATGGGTATGATACTAAACTACACTTACCTCAGTGCGCTTAGCCAGAAGTTTATAGCCACTGTGTGAGTCTCTCTTTATAAGAGTCATGCTGTAGGAAAATGGACCAGTGAATGGAAAGTAGGGAGCTCCATTTGTTAAGGATGCATTGGCCCAGTGGAATTCATTGCACAGTTCAACACCAGTAATTTGTGCAAGTCTTTCACCAGTGCACAACTTCAAGTCCTGGCGATTTTCTGTGATAAGTTTCTCTTCTTGTTCGAGATCCCCATGAATTGAGAAGAAGGTGGTCCTGAAACACGGAAGAATAGTTGATGTTCAATGTTGCAAAACACATATTTATATCAATCCAGTAATTTTCTCAACAACATTTTAGGCTACATTTTCATCAGCCTTATTTCTTGTAAATTGCTGCCCTGCAAGCAATTTACAAGAAATAAAACTGTCAAGATGAAGATGCTTTTGCAGCATCCAAACACATCCAGTTCTGAGGAGAATGCCACTGCAGTTGGTACCAGCAACCAGTATGATTACAAACGATTGGAAAAGACATTGGAAATCACAAAAAGACAGATGTGTAGCCTACATACTTGACGTCAAAGATTTCCATCTTTTGTTGCGGGAGTTCCAGTTCAGCACTGAGAATCTTGCCACGAGTCAGTTCTACACGACCCTTGAGGGCAGTGCTGGAGTGCCAGGTGTTGAAGACACGAAGACCAGACTTTGTCACGAAGGCATCCATACTCATTGTGCCAGCAATCTGTATTGCTCCACTGAAAGTAATGAAGAAACATGTATTCTCTAGCACCAATAACTGAGTGTTAGGTATATGTTATTGTTTTATCTACCATTAACCCGTTCTTATAAAAGAACAAAAAATACCTTGGTTGGATAGTTCCATCAATGAGGAGACTGCGTGGCTTGGTGGAAACTTTGCGGAGATCTACTTGACCAGAGGCCTTAAAATTGATGGTAGCTGTTCCATTGACGGTCAGGTTGAGGGGGAGACCGGAGCTGGTGGGGATGATCATGCTGCTGTCCAGGATCATCATACTCTGAGTGAAGGAGTAGTCATGCTTCTTAGACATCTTGATCAGAAATTCAAGGAAGTTGAACTTGGAAGCAGACGTCAAGGACTCCATTCCCTTGAAGTGTTTGTACAACATCTCGTTTCCAAAGATCCTCATGTACATGGCACCCCGAAGTTTGCCAAGGTCAGCTCGACTCTGGAAATATAAATGGTCAATGCTAGTGAAGAACCAGTCTAGATTATCTGCTGAAACAGATTCCATTTGGCGTAGACGGTAGATTCGAAACATTATCATCAGCTCATACACTAAATATGTATATTGAGTAGTGTCTTATACAATGTGGCTGTACATAGATAGTCTGTATTGAATGAAGTTCAAAATTACCTGTTCTGTGTTTTTCTTGTTGGAGTTCTTGTCACCAAAGTAGCCGTAAGGCCCCAGATAGGTTTCCAGGAGGTATTCGAGGCCTTCAATGCGACCACCAATTTCCAGCAAATTGATAGAGTTTCCAAAGAGATCCACTGTCAGGTTCATCATTGCAGATCTAGGAACGAAAGACTTCTCAGAAAAGATCAAGTTGCTGTCAACCATGGCACCAGTGTTAAATTTCTCCAGGAAAAGAGAGCCTTCATAGTTGCGGGAATACTTCAGGGTCTCCAGATCAAATTCTCTCTGAAGAGTCTTGTCCTCCAGAATGCGCCTGATTGTCTGCTTCTGTGGACTGGCTGTTTCCATCAGATTGGTAAGATGAGACCAGACAAAGGATCCAACCTGATTAGCTTTCTCTGACACAAGGGTTTCTTGGATTCTACTGAGGACATCTTCTGAAGGACACCGCATGAGAGCCAGGTAAGCAGCAATTCTCAGCTCAGAGTCCTCCTCTCCATCTCTGTAGATGGTCATCACTTCATTTCTCTGAAATGGATAGAATTTACTATCAATCAATTCAATGTTCTTATTCGTCAGTAGTCAATCAATGTACAGTAAAAGTAAATATCGAAACGTTATGAAGCAAAACAACTCACATCAGCAGAGCATGGAAGGCGACGGAATGCTTCGACAGCCGCAACCCGGACTTCTATTGGATTTCCTTCTTTGGTGAAGCAATTTCTGATGCTGTCAACAACTCTTTCTGAGTGACCTGCATTTCCAATGGCACGCAAAGTCATCAGAATTCTATTGAGTTTATTGTCTCTTACATAGCAGCCATAGTCAATGTTCTTCTCTAGGCTTGAAAGGATGTTCGTAACAGCAATCTCATCCGAACAGCTTGGGTTATGGCTACAGTAGTTGTTGATCATAGTGGACACAGGTAGCATGGCTTTCAGACTCAATTCAGGGGACTCCACAAGGGCCTATCAAACAGAAAAGCAAGTAGCATATCTTTATTATTTTGCTTCAGTACAAGCTAAGGTTACATACATGTTAAATGTCTCATTATGTCTTACCTTGACATTTTCAAGCATTTCTAATGTTGGATGGTGAATGAGTGCAAGTGAGGTGATCCACATTTCAGCCTGGGTTCCGGTCACATCTTTTCCAGTCAGGAGTTCGGTCAGAAACTGAACAGCAGCACCTGTGCTTGCCATAGGAATGGCATCAGTGAAGAACTTCCTACAATACACATTAAATGCTGTTGTTGAAAAAGAATCTCTACAGGACTGAGATGCTACTCTTAAACATGATTGATATTTACTGCATTAAGACAATAATTACAAGAAGTGTCTTACATGGTGCGCTCATTGTTGTCACTGCAGAGTGAACCTCTCTTGACTTGATTGTAGACACCATTAAGGGTTGTGACATCCATGTTTCTGATAATGTAGACAAGTTCAGAAAAGAGACGTGGCGTGTCTGGTCTGACGTCTTCCCTTGTATCCCTGCAGATTTCCTGGAGTTTGTTTTCTGCCTCCCTCCTTGGTTCAGCACGTTGGCCATTTCCATAAACGTGCTCATAGATCAGACCTGTACGGCTGCCGATCAAATCAGGCCTTGTTGTAACGCCAGATCTCTCAGACTTGAAGTTGAGTCTCTGGAGAACTTTGGTTGTGGCACCATTGTTGTCCTGAGAAAAGGGTCTGAAGGTGTGTGTCTCCGTAATAAGTGCACTCTTAAGGCGACCATTCTTGTCCAGTTCCTGGTCATTTTCGTGTGTGCTCTTCATCAGTGGCATGGACTGGATATCCTGAGGAAGATCCAACAAGGAAATACTGAGCAAGACAACTTGTGAATGGCAATGTACATCATATCGGTTTATGGATGTAACTAAACAAAGTAAATGTAGTTTTCAATAAATATACTCACCGATGGCACTCTGTATGGCATGGCATGGACAGAACTCTGGTAGCCATGGCGATCGGTGCATCCAAGAATATCCTTGACTTTCTTGATTGACGTGCTGTACCATCCAGAATTGGTTACTTTGTAATCTGTATAGCAGCTGCCAGCAATATCTCTCTAAAAAGTCAAAATCGGAATAAGTCACATGTCCAACTTATACCTATGATACAATAATTCATCAATCTTTCCTTTTTAGTCAGAAATGGGAAAAGTCCTGCTTACTTCTTTTACTCTCTGGTCTGTGTCAATACGATCCATGCTGTTTTGGACAGCAGTTAGAAGACCCCTCTTGATGTTGAGAGCCCATGTTGTTTCACCATCAGCTGGACACAGTTCCTCTACAACGCCATCTTGGAAAGAGAATCGAAGGGGGAATCTTTCTAGATTCCTCTTGAATTCCCCAGTTTCGTCAGCATATTTCATAGGGTTGGAAGAATAGGGATCAGATCGGTACACTTTGACATCGCGAAGCTGAGTAGAGGAAATACAAAATACTTGTCACAACTGGCTGAACTTTCACTTATATGATGCGTTTCCAATTAAAACGTATACATGTTTGTTATATGCCTTTTTTAGTTACCTACCCGTAGAGCCATTTCGCACTTCGACAGCACTTCGATGTCAGCACTTGCCCGGATACCAAGAGACGCTCGTTCACTGGAGGCTCCCTCCATGGACGTCTGTGTTTGAACGTTGTACACAAACTCATACGTCGTTCCGGGGACGTAATTAAATTTGGATGTGCCTATAAATAACAACGTTTAGGTTGGCCAGTTTGACTTTAATGTTAGGTGGATGGGAAGCAAACAATGTTAAATGTAACTTATTGCGTCTTCTTTTGTATTTTTGGAAAATGTAGAATATGATATAATGTGGCGAATGCCTTCAGTTTCTTACCTGTGCATGATTTGGCGCATGATGTCATGTCTTCATCTCCTTGTCTCACACTGATAGGGCCTATCACAAAAAGGGTTATTGTTACACAATGTCCAATCACTATAATGCATAAATCCATGCATAACATAAACTGCCGGGCATAAGAAAGTATCCACTTGAAATTTGGATTTGACCAAAAAACTTCAAACATTATCAAAGCGTTACTGGGCTGTCCTGTTGTGAGATACTCATTGATAGGACACATGCAATGTCGCCAATGATACCCGTGTTAAATACATCACCATCGAAAAATCCATTTTTGTTTGTTTCATTTCTAGCCACTATTTAACATTTGTGTATGCTTTATTTTGGTGACTCATAAAGCTCTGAGTGTACAAGTTCGACTTGGATTTGTAGTACTTCATTTCACAAGAAACCGACTCCGTGGTCTTGTGGTAGAACGTCCGCCCGGAGAGCGGAAGGTCCTCGGTGCGATCCCCTGCCGCGTCATACCAAAATATGCAAAAGGTTTATATTTGTTGTTACCTTGTCTGGCGCTCGTTATTAAGGGGCTAAAGCAAGACTGGTCAACTCGGGAGTCAGTATACTGTGTATGAGTGGGGTATTCATGTTAAAAAGCGGCATTGTATTTCAGTTAGTTAGCACTATAAATCGGCATCAGTCCGGACTAGTACATGCAGACACAAACACATACACACACGTGCATGCACGTCGCTATATAAGAACCTATTTCACTTCACATCATTTCACAAATAGTGTGTAGTTTATTTCAGTGTCCCGAAGATAAATTGCTAGCTTATGAATCGCAGTACTCGTAGTTAAAGATAAGGATAACATTATTTAAAACAAAGACTTGCACAATTGTGGGGTGTTAGAGTCAGTAAACATTTGCGGTCAGTGCTTCAAAATGAACAATTTGTATTCTGTGAAAGGTGGAACACAGGAACTTATTGTTTTGGTAAAATCTGAGGACAAATTGATTTTACTGGAACAAACTATTTTCATCAGAAAAGGCGGCCTGATTCTTCTTACACATGCGTTACATCAGGATATGGCGTCCGTGAAAAACAACGAAAAATAAGACTTACTCCTGTAAGTTCACTGCACTAATTGGAACACCATTGTTAAAGATGCATGTCGATGATAAATAAAATTAGGAGTTTTCAGTATATAGCCTCAATATCGCAATACAGTGGTATACTATGTCGCTAATATTAAAGCATTTCATAATATAAATTAAGACATTTTTTGGCAATATATAACTTATCATAGCATAATATTATAAAACGTGTCTTATCATCATGTCCTTCTTGTCTGTGCCAGTTTCTTCTTTCCTGTGCAATTTTACAAATAATAAACACAATAATTTTAATAAATCTCGCCAAGGCACAATACATTCAGAAACGTTGATATACTTTACAGTAAACGGATTGGTTTCCCTTATGTAATCAATCCCATCACTCCCTATTCGTCTAACTTCAGTGTTAAACCATCTCTCAGACAACGTAATAAAGTGAACTTACCTGCAATGGCCGTGGCCAGTATGGCGCCGACTACCAGTAAGAAGCTGGCCTCCATGGTGTGAAGCTCGGAGATGTACTAGCTAAGCTTGAGTCTCCGGCAGAGGTGCTCCTTCTTTTATACTTAGCAGGTCCAGAATCACCGGTCAAAAGTCAGTGTCTATTGTCATCGCTTACTGCGCATCTGTCACATTTGTGAATATCAGCATGGCAACACTGCGCATGCTTCGATAACATACACACTTACTCTAATACTAGGAAATATGCTGAATTGTAGTGGTTTATCTATCTGACAAGATTAGATGGCCTTACCTGTCAACAGCATTTCAGTTTGAGTGATAATATTCTCCTGACCGAAGGTATATTTATCACTGACCCCGTGAGATGTACCTGTTGTATCTTACAGCCTCGCCTTGTCACTAGATTAACTATCAATGTTTCTATCTAAGTAGTTCTTCTAAGTGTTTCTGTTTGGTTATTTGTTTGGACTGATTTTACACAATTCTGTGGATTTCACACATTTGTCCTGCACATGGAATTTAGAAGTGGTGTGAAGTAACGTATGCTTGTCAGAAGATATTGAACGTGACTTGGCTGATCGCATCTCGTCATGACTTGATAGTGGTGATCGCTGCTCATGTTTTCAATGACTAATACGTCTGTTCGAGACTCGAGTATTTTCAAGTCGCCGCGATGTAGTTGGTCTACTGCTGACTTCAACGTTAAGTACAATCCAGACTTATTCAATCCAACCGATATCCCTAATCATACAGGCTAAACTATTTGAAGCCTTGGCTGAAACTGCACAAAGCACTGTAGAATAATAGGACATTAGGGAGAAATCAGCCAGCTGTTCTAGGTAGACATTGATTCGTATTCAGCGTTTTCAATATATAACATGACATGTCTTGCAATGGTAAGCATTGTCTATTGTATCTTTACTCAACAGTAATGTGAGGTGTTGAAGTGAATGTTCAACCCTCACTGATAACAACGTTTATCACACTTGATAGTGTTATCATCGATATCCCTGTTAACACCATTATCATGTACGTATTCCAGATAGCACAGTCTGCTATGTACTGAAAGCCCCTAATTACATTTCATTGTGACAGCATTACTAAATATCGGTTTATTGTCATGACTGTGGATTTTCTGATCAGGGACTGTGGCGACATATGATTTTGATTACTGTCATCGGGTGGTCATTAACCCTACATGCATTCACTGTGAAGGCACCGGGGTAGAATAGGTCTTCAGCAAACTAAGCTTGCCATGACAGGTGACCATGCTTGTCGAAAGAGGCGACTAACGGGATCGGGTGGTCAGGATCGCTGACTTGGTTGATGTGTGTCATCGTATCTCAACTACGTGGATCGATGTTCATGATGTCAATCACTGGATTGTTGAACAACAAAAACAAACAAACACTATGAGTGAGTGAGTGAGTTGGGTTTTACGCTGCTTTTAACAGTATTCCAGTTATATCACGGCGTGTCAGCTTATGTGGGAGGAAAGCCCGAAGTGATGCAGGTCTCAGACGTTTACCACTTCGGTGAAACCCACAAGCACGGGTATGGTGCTGACAAACCTAGAAACATAATCGGGGCGAACCGGGATTTGAACCCACAATCATAGGTTTCTGGCGTGCCCAAGGGACGCAACTCTGCACAGCGAATCACGGCGCCTTAGACGACTGGGCCACCCGTGCCCCCACAAACACTTGAAGGCAACTATAATTTTAAATAAATCAAAGATTTTCATTTTCATTTTATATAGCCCTTTACTGAATATTTTCTACATATACCTCGCTTTGTAAGGAAAAAGAATAATAATGTGCCCTTTGTGTCCTTTGTGACAATGTGTCCAAAAACATATATAGTTCGTTATTTTTAGATACATTAAACAAAATTGAGCAGCTAAAAATTAAAAACCAAAAGCCATCTCAAAACAAATCTTAAGCTTACTGAGAAAACCATATATGAAACCCTGCACTTTTTTATCTATACAAATCAAAACAGAAGTGTCACTTAAGCTGCAGGCATATCGATGATCTGATATCGCTTAATAATGGTCAAATAACCAATCCCCTTTAACTGATTTACCCACTTCAGAGACCAGTGAAACTGTCCCATCTATTTCATATTCATGTGTGACAAAAAAAAGCTGTTCACAAGACTGTTTGACAAGGAGGATCACTAGAAAATTCCAATAGTAAACTTTCCCTTCATGTCGAGCAATATTCCAACATCTCCTGGTTTTAGTGTAAACAATTCACAACTTTTGAGGTACAATCGAGCATGTTTTTTCCACGCAGATGTTGAAGAGCGCCATACGACTCCTGCACAAAGGTTGTCAGATCATGGTTACAGCTTTCAAGGCCTCAGTGAGGATTTCAAAATGTTAAATGATAAACAGGATAGTTCCAAATTTGACATATCCGTGACCAAAATGATGTTCGACACAATTCCCTATTTTGACTTGTACCATGTGGTCCAGTGTTTGTTCAGGTGAACACTTGACCTTTCCTTATAACTTGTGATGGGTGCTACGGGTGAGGAAAGATACACTCACCTTTTCGCGAACATCTGGTGCCATTCACTATTTGATAGCGAATCATGAACATGCTTATTGTATAGTCAGTATCGTGCAATGACCTATGTTGTTATAGAAAAGGTTTTGTCCAGTAAATTTAGTAAAGGAAAGTGACAAATATCGTGTGGTCTGCAACATTTCTTACCTTTAAAATGTGTTTGAAACAGCGGCCTGTGCGTATTGAATAAATGTATAGTTTTAGAAAATAAATAAGTTTGATTGACAAAACATTGATGCCAGGTGCGTGTTTGGTCAAGAACGATTTACGAATTACTGTTCTTTGTGTATGATCTCATCACTTTTTTACCATTTTGTTTAATCTTGTATTTACAAGAGATAAAACTGCTTTAGATATTTCTACATGTCTGTAATGTGAACAAAATATAACATGTACCCTGTGACATGTTAGGCGAATCGTATACGATTTATCCTTATAGTTTCATATGTAAAGAGTATGTTTCAGATCTTTTCTTTCTAAACAAAATGTTTACTTGCGGAAAAAGATAACTTGGCTTCATATAAACAGATGATTGAAAACAGCCAAAGACTGGACCAAATAGCTTTACGTCCTGGTTCAATCTGTCGTACTCGTCTCCCCATCTTATCACAGACAAGTTCTATGAGGGGGGTGATCTGGAGAAACAGCGGGTCATGGCAGTACAGGAATGTTAAGATGCCTCAAAAAGTCAGATTTCAGAAAGTAAATGTCCTTGGCATCGTTACAATGCCATAGCAGAACTAAACGTTGCATATCTCCTTCATAACCTATGTGAGAGAACAGAAATGTTTCATTGTTTCAATCATTCAGTCCATACGAAGTATCCGTAAAATCTGATATAATATCCTCCTTACACAAACTACAACTCCTATTCTTGAGAGAAGTGTTTGCACGAAAAAAACTTCTGAAACACACCAGTGGTAATCGATGTGCAGTCTTTTGTCCCTGTAAATCAGATATATCACAGGACAAGTAGCTTCAGTAATTACAGAACCAACGTCAACGCCAACGAAAATACTCAACACGCGCAAACTTTGCTTTTTGGATCATTTTCTGCATGTGTCAGTTGTACATATGTGGCAACTGTGACAAATGTTTACTCAGATACGTGTCCAGATGCTCCGAAAGACAGTTGTATGACATCTTGTTCCTGACACCACGGGAACCATTACATAAACCCAAGCCTGAATAAAGTTAAAGTGTGTTAAAAACCATTACTGACACTTGTTTTAGAAATATACTACTGCATGTTTCATATAGATTATTTTCCCTTGAGACATAGTATTAACGCTGCATGAGAGGAAAGCAGATAGGAAAAGAGGTGTTTCCTGCAATATGGATTTAAATCTAAACTTAAACCTTTTTATGTGCATTTTAAGTTACCGAATAATGTTTAATGCAATGCAATAAAAGTCTGTCATTTTGAATGGAAAAAGTTTAAATTTAATAAACCTTGTAAACCTCTAGTAGTTCGAGTAATGTAAACTGATCCATTATGAAAGTCCCAGAGTTGTATATTCTTTAAGATTGTGCAAACCTAATTGGTAATCAAATTGAATCTCTTTTGTAAAAACGGTTTGCGTAAGACCAATGGCTTCTAAATTTGATAGTAATGTTTAAAATGTTTTAACGTTCACTGTGACGAAATAGTGACTTTAAGCGAAATGTACGTTATTTCACGATCAAGTTACACCAATTCTGGCATAAGTGGTGTTAGAAACAATAAGCTGACCATTGTCATTAAATACCAGTGATCCTGATGAAGGTGAAGTTTGATACTATAAGGAGAAATACAAGTGACAAAACCTGTTCAATAATCATAAGATATCTCTGTTGCAAGCAGAGCGCATTGTACGATTCCGACTGTAAGCATGTTTTTATGTATCACTATTAAACAGTGACGATACCAGATGTTCTGTAAAGGTGGGCGCGTACTGTTAGGATTGTCTACATAAAGAGGACATCAACTGGGCACGATGGCGTCCAATTGGGTTTCACTGAACACAGACTCCTTGAAACAGAATGTGATGGATGTAACAAAGTAACAGCGCCTATTTTTGTTATTTTGACACTCCGTTTGCTAATTATATCCCGTGTGTCAAACGGTTCAAGAGGACCTAACATTCTGAATCAGTTAATTCAATTGCAGCCTGTGTTTTACTAGCACTGTAAAATGTATATGTTAGGTTGGTGGAATAACATACATGTGTGTAGTGGCCATTACCCTTGAGAAAGGCTAATAGAAGTGATAAGGATCAAAAGGGTACAGGTCAATGTTTTATTTTCAAATAATGCAATATATTGAACATAAAGATCATTCAATAAGAACTGTACATTATACACAATGAAATAAATAAATTATTAACATATTACAATAATCTCAAGATCATTTTGGGACATGCCAGATGTTCAGATGCTTCTGGCTCGGTAACGACGGCGCTGTCTAAGTGACTTCTTCATCACGAACTCCTGCAACAAATGACAAATGAATAGGGCTTAGTTCTATTCTTACAGTGTCCACATTGAATTACTCAGGGACCAACTCACTG